ATATTTCCATTGCCTAATAAACTTATGTAAAAAAGCAACGAAGTTAAATAGAACGGTACAATCCAGGCACGATACAACTGGTGGATGTCACGTTCAGAGCGCACCCAGATGACCTCTATCACAATATTGTCACATCGTTGACGATTTCCGGCCATATCCAAGGCAGCACCGCGCCACAAATGGCTATCGTACGGGAATCTTCGGTGGTCTGCTGTATTAATTCGATGTTCATTCATTCGATCGCCAAGGATCGACGAAATATGTGGTGCTTTTTCCTTCTCACTGGAAACCAACCCCGGAACATTCGGGGAACGGTCGATGATTTTTCAAGTCATGACATCTGGGCAGGTAAGCTTTACTACGCTAGCATTATCCAGCAATACCGAATTAAGGGAAGAAGAGTCACTTGACAAAGCAAGGAACCCGGACGAAAAAACAATATAAGAAACGCTGTCAGCGTACGTTTTTACCAGCATCGACTGCCTCATGGTATTTCTACGCCAATACTATTCTATTATACCGCTGCAATTTGCTACGACTTGCCAAATCGGATAGTCTTAGTAAGTCGATGTACATATTCTTAGAACATCAACGAGTAGATAGAAAGATCTGTTCATAGTTTCTCGCGTCGTCGATAATTACTCAATATCTACTTGTAGCATGCTTAGTTTAAGCGGGACCTGCACTGATTGAAGGACCAGTAAAATCAGATGAAGTCCATCTAGCGTACCTATAACAGCAAGTGTAAATTGTTTTGCTCTGAAAGCTAGAGGGGTATGTGACCATAATAGCCGTTAGGTAAATATTTTGTCAAAAAAAACTTTTGTCAGGGAACAGCTTCGTGATAAACAATTCTGTCATTCGCTACCGAGACGAATCACTTCCTTACAAAAGCTATTTAATATGCTTGACTCGGCCTACCTATTCTCAGCATCCAAAATTTCCTAGCGTTTTCCTTAAGATATACTGGTTCCAATATGTCATCGTATTATCTCTTGTACATATACTTAAAAAGCAATAAACATCGTTGCAAAAGATGGAACACAAGCGGTGTTGCATGGCCCATCTGAGAATATAGTGAGTGACGGCAGTTAATAAACGAAGCTATTTCCGCTGATTTGAAAATAGCGAATTACTTCTTTTCAAAAAGAGAGGACTCAATAAAATTAAGCACTTATTTGCCAGTGAGCGTCTCTTTGTTTCGAGTTTACGTGCAGTATCGCCGTTAGGCACTCCATCAGCGGACAGACTGCTGGCTCCCAGGACGAAACGTAGTGTGTTTATGTTCGGGTTCGAACCTAGACCACAACGTGTCCCTAAGCTAGGGGGCCTGCAGGGATAGTATAGCGATATCTTCGGACCTTGTTGGCGTTCGTGAGTCGCGGTGACGTTTGCATAATGTGTGGATCTTCACTAGTTCGTTCCCTCGGCAGTGAGCAACTGATGGTCTCGACCTAGGTAAGGCTTGAAAAGGCTTCGGATCAGTTACGACTGTTTTTACTCCTGGCGGGCATTGGAGTATGCGTGCGGCGTACTTGACTTGCTGCCATGCCTGTATTTAAGTGATCCTCTACAGGCCATTTTAGTAACCTGATTTTTGAAGTACGTGAAAACATGTGTATTGCAAAAAGTACATACTGCACGTATTTCTGACTCGCTGCTCGCGCCGTCCTTTGAAGGAGACACGCCATTGTCGTCGGATGGCAGGCTAGAGGTGCAGTGGGGTGCAGCAGCCGTTATTTATCGGCACCTAATGAGGCATTCTTTTCAGGGCCTCGGAAAGAATACTCGCTGTTATGGGGCTATGTTGGTAACATCTGATAGTATATTTTCAAGCTATTTATGTAAGGTAATTGAGATTAACAAAGAGGGCAGAACTTAATCTTTTCAATGTGTACAGGATAATTTAGCTAAGAGGAAAACTTGAAGGAAACGTCAGTTAGAAATTCGTAACTAATGAGAAAAAAACCTATTGAGCACAGGCGACCTATCCTTTCCCTGCTACATAACACTTCTTTTTTAGCTCACCCTATATGGCATCCTTGAAACCTGCGACAAACGTAAAACGACAAAATGGAAAAAGAATAGACATTAGAATCAGATACATTTTCGAGCGGAACTTTGAGTATATTTAAAATGTTTCATTGATGGCTTTCTATCGTGCTAGGTAGACGTATATAGACGAGAGTGAGAACGTGGTTCCGATCGAATCATAATGGTTTCCTAGAAAAACAATTAAAGCTATGCTTAGTTTTTCATCTGCGACGACAGCAAAAGTATGGTGAGTTGCCCTATTGTTAGGTTTGCCCTAACAGTGTTTGCCTTCAAAATACGGCGGGACGTTTTTTCGATCTATAGATAAAATCTACTATACGGCTACGCCGATATTGTACGATAGTCCGTTAACAGGTGACAACAATTAACTAACATTAGATCGATTGTTTCCGTTCTCTCTAAAGATAGTGTCTACTAGAAGATATGATTGGATAAATGGATACACACACATATGGACATTTTTTTCATTTGTGTCCAAGGATTTATTCGTATCTGGAAAAAAACAGGAGTAGTTGCCTGGTAGGCGAAGGGATTTATCTTCATACTACATAAGTAGTTACTACTCTTTCTTTCTCGCTAAATTTAACAGGCAACTTAAAAGAGTGAGCGTTACACATTGTTTAGGCGTACCTGTCTCTAACATATATATTCCCTATATTTAAGACAGGTATACAACTATTAAATTAGCGATTTAGTTCCAGCGGTAGCGAGTACACAAAAATCATATCATTTAAATGTTTACATTTTTACACAAATTTTTTTACCTCTTTATATAGTCTGTTAGCTGCGAGGTCACATTGTATCGAACCCTGTTACGCCATACCAATTTGTTGTTATAAAAAAATCATAAATGAGTAAACGAACTCTAACGTTGAACTCCAGATGTATATCAATATAATATTCTATATAAGTATTCTAGAGCACCATTTGCTTGTGGCGAGTAGTTAGTGCAAAAGTCACGACCTTTTTTTATCGGACGCGTACAAGAATATGACCGCAGTAAATATCCTACGGCGATATAGGTTAAACGCAGCTCAGAAACAACATATAGCGACATTTTCAGAAAAAAAAAGCTTTTGCTGCAGTTCAGATAATTCGAAGTCGTTTTTCTGTAAAAAAGCCATTGATCTTAATAAGATGCCGCCAGAAATCGGGAAACTTTTTTTCCCGTAATCTCGATCATAGCTAAACGGATCTGATATCGTTAGCTGTCGTCGCTAGATATTATCTTCACTTATCCTTTCTAATTCTCCATTCTCCACTAAAATTAAGTGCTTTTATTGTTCTTCAATCTATAGCACTGTTCAAAACGATGTTTCATCACACCAACTCCAAGGCAAATCCAAAGTACTCATTAAATCGGCGTCTTTTATTGGGCTAGCTAGCTAGCTAGCTATTTCAGTATACCCAAAACTGTTTGAACTTCGTTTTTAATCGCACTATTTAAATATGGAACTGCCAAAATAATATCACCTTAGCATTTCTAATATAGTTTACTATATGGATAAAAAAATGTTTGCCATTGAAGGACGATCAATTCAAAAATTTCTCTTGTAAGAGGTAAAATCATGACTGTGGCTCCATCTAGTGGGTGGCCTCCGCTAGCTGCTCTACGACTTTCTATAAACCTAACGGCGCCCCCTCGAGGCTGCTCTGTGCCCCACGGTTCGCGCACGCGCAGAGACGCTGAAGTGCGCAGTGCTCTATTCGTATCGATTTAAGGCCCCGGCGGTTAGCCGTGCTCGCCTGGATAAAGGTAAGTCAGTGCACTTTCGCATCTTTTTTTGCAGCCCTCTTTGTGTTTGATGTTCAACCTCAATCCATATCGCTGTAGTCATCGAGAAGTAAGTCATTGGCGAATCGTAGATTTAAATATCAGAAGCTCTGACGTGTATAAATTTTAAATCGTCCGTTTTGATGGAGCGAATACGGATCAGGATTTTGGCAAACGTTCTCGAAGAGTGCTTGCTTTAGACAAACGTCGTAAGCTAAGCGCCTGACGGGTTTGCGGTTGCGGTATTTTGACGCAGACTAAGGATTTTAAATTTGTCTTGACTTGCAGATATCATAATGCGTTTTACTGTTGTCCATATCTAGAGAATAGCGTCAACTAGGATATTAAATTGGTGCAGTATAGTGGATCGGCCATTTTCGATCACATGGGTGATGCGTATATCTCCAGTTTCTAATCTGCGTCTGTGTGCCGTATTTTTGGCCTTAGATGCTCGACAGATTGTTCTTCATAACCGAAGCAGGCCTATTGCAACGTTATCTGCTCTGCAGCTTGAGCTCTAGGTCAGTGCACAGTCATCGCATAAGTACTCAATATTATAACAGAGAACGCTGCCCGATTCACTCAATATATCTGTGCAAGGATCGCTTAATTAGTGATAATTCTTACGTTACAATTTTACGCCATACGCCGCCAGTCCCGTTGAATATATAACACTCATTATAGAAGAATTTTTGTTAGCTAACAATTTAGCCCAGGGAAATAGGCAATCATGGATATCTCAGAGAGCAAACAGGTACTCGATAGATAAAAGGACACCAAGAAATAAGCCAAAACGGAAGAGTTACGACTGCTTACTTCGAAAGCACACGTAACCATGGCTAGCTGATAGGAAAAATTGCTTTCATATCGCAGGCCAACGTGGAGCTCCCCATCTAAGTAAGAACCTTGATAATTTCAGCCCCGGTTTAGTTAGAACAACTGGCGTTCAGCTAATTTGTAACGCTAGTTTCTATATATCAGCGGCATTGGCTGTTTAATACTGATGTGGGGCCAGTAAGGAATCTGGGTTTACCATATTGTTACCATGAGTTGAGCTGCATAATTTTTTAAATAGTATAAGCGAACTGTAATCAGTTTGTCATTGCGACGACTCTGTAATATGGGTAACTACCTATCCAAAATAGAGTAATTAATGTCTAAGATAAGCATTTCCGTGTCTTGGTTTAAAAACTCTTTCATTTTTGGTCGACTTCTATGCCTTGGGTCATCAACAAAATAGGCTGAACAAGCCTTCGTCAGATTTTATCAATGATTATTTCGCATCGCATCTGAATCTTCGTCCGAAGGTTGTTGGCTGTCTCGCTATATTACCGTTGAGCCATTCAGAGATACAACCTATATATGCATATAGGTAATTATCCCTAAATCGACATGCACCTCCGCACTTCAATGACACGGTTGTCCATGTATCATTCCTGGATCTAACAGGGTTCGTATTTGAGTAAAATATTTGAATTTTAATGATTAAAGATAGATAAACTATTGGTCTGCCTGGAAACGGCATACTAACAACGTCTATCCTGTGTTGAAGTATCGCTTTCGCCAAGTAAGACGTGGCGAAATCGTCCGCTCGTGTAACCGCTACAGGCTATACTGTGACTTTTTTTAATGTTTTCTCAGCTAACGAACGTAGTACCCTCTTTTCTTTCCTATCGGTTTTTTGATTCCTCCAATATTTGCGTCGTTTGATGCTTGCCTCTCATGGGATTAGCTCCCATAAAGTAGAACATCTCAATCCTTAAAATTCGTATGAATGGTAACCCTGGTCAGGTCTCAAAGATGGACGGACGATGCCTATTAAATAAATTATGTAACGGTTCAACTGTGTTGACACTTGTTGTGTGAGCATGCGCATCAGTGGGCTTCCTAATAACAACCTGAATGATAAAAATAATTAATAATATATACAATGATGATGATGATTACCACTATGGTAGCATACATTTCTACGCTTTCTACAAGGTAGAACAAGTATCTTCTTTCTATACTGTGAATAGATTGCACGTAGCTACACATAAATGTAACCTAACTACATTGGCTTTTTGGGTATTTCAGACCGCGCTGACGTATCTACATTTGTCGGCAAATACATTAACGACAAGTTTTGTCAAAAGAGATCAATTCCGCTGTCAGAATGAAGCGGTTAGCCATTTTTACAATGGCATTAGCCACCGTTACTTTGGCGTTGGACCTTGAAGCAGTGCAGAGAAGTTCAACACGTAACCGATATTCCGCTATGAACGGAGATCTCCTGCACGAGCTAGAAAAGAGACGCTCAGTGGCCCCTAACTATTTCAACATGTTCGATGAACCGAACGGCCGCATGGCTAACGATCGATACTACAGGTAAGCGACCGTAGGTTCGAATACTGATTGCTTTAAACGCATAGCTTTCACGAATGTATTGCAATCAACCCTATCACTCATTTGCACATACGGTCAGTATGAACCGTATTGTCTCTCGGGGGATCTCAGTATCTCGGACTGTTGTATCTGAAATTCGATCGCAGGCGCATGCAGGAACTGCTGGCCAACATGGTAACAGCCACCCAAGGGGCTCGAGGCGCAGCAGCATCTGAATCTGCAAGTTGGCCAGACGTCCTCCGCCAACGGGACGCTCGACTTACGCAAATGGATGATATTCGACCACCTTATGATCAGGGTAAAGATATACTTTTACGTTAAACTCATTCGTGGGCCAGAATAGATTAAAATCTACGTTTAATTCACAATGCTGTCCTCGACTTGCCTATCGAAGCAGGACTCTGTGTTGAGACTGAATAGTTATCCTGAATCAGACAAGAGACACAGTAACTAAACTATATTCCATTGACGGTGCGTCTCCTCTACGTCTATTGCAGATGATTTTCCGTCGTATGAAAGTGCCACCGGACGTCAGGATGAGTCACTTAGCCGCTGGACCCTGCCGTCCCCGCCACCGCCGTCGGCAGGGGCTGGCTCGCCTTCGGGAAGACAGCAAAGCATCCTTGACAAACGAATCAGCATTCCCGATCGCCAGAACTCTTACCGAAGCCACAAGCAGCTCCCGTTCTCGATGAGGGTGAGTCGGATCTCGATGTTGATGATGCTAATCTTATCTCCGTGGAGGTGAGCCCACAAAGAGGCTTTTCTGTTAAACACGTTATTATTCTTATTCTTAACTAAGCTAGCTAACTCTACAATTTTCGGTCAAGTCAGTCCAAGTAGATCCTGACCATTGATGCGACTAACGACTTCGTTAGACTCGGTAGCATGGGCCCTGAGAAAAATTCAATTCACGTCTAATCAACATGCATATGTCGTAGAAGATATTATTAACTCTTCAACTTTTACGCAGGTTCCTCAGGAAGAGCTGCTAAAAAAGAGGTCTACGGAACTATTAACAACGGAGAAGCCACAGACCTCAAGAAGTGATATCCTTATCAAAGATCTTAAGCAGCCGGTACGCAAGTTCTATACCACTACATGAATCGCTCTTAAAGCTGTATAAGCAGATCAGCGGACCTGATTGATTATTCTAATAATATTCATGTAACACATACCTGCTGTTCTAAGAGATTACGGACTCCAGTTTATTTTGCTAGCTTATTGCAATATTGACGCGGTTTTTTTTTCATTTTGCAATTTAAGGACATGGACAAGAGGAACAAGCGGACCGCCGTTCCTGACGCAGCATCTTCAACAGTAAACACTGAGACAAATGTCTCGAAAGCATCCCTCAGTAACGGAAGTGGGGCTAGCGGCAGGATGTCTCCTGCCGATTTCAAGCAGTGGCTCACCGACGAATACTACCGTAATATGGCGATGAATTTCGCCACGATGCGTAAACGTCGAAGCGTGCCTGATCAAGCGGGCCTTGAAGGAGCTCCGATGGAAGCCCCTGGAGAACGTGACGACGGTGCGGCGTTCGAGCGTTTGCGTTCGATGGAGCAAAGCCTGTTACAGGAGGCGCTTCAGCTTATGCAGGTGGAAGTAATTCTTAAATTTAGAGAATACTTAGATCAACTTGCTACTAATAGGGAATGTAAACAATTTTTCAAACGGCCATTGCGATCAGCACCCCTAACTTTTGACATTTGTCGTGCGCTTAGCCTAACTTCTTAATTCTATGTGGCACATTATCCGGTGCAGATTATATTCAAATGGGTGTCATTTTAATCCAGAGATACTAAAGGAATCAAAGATTAGAATAAATAACAGAGACCCAAATTGATTTTTCAAACAGTTGGCCGTGCTTGCTGAATCTGCTGAATTATTTTTTTAGAATGGCAATGCGCAGCCGGGGCGTGGTAAGCAACAGTTCAAGTTGCAAGTATCGGAGCGTCTTGATGTCGCCCACGATATCGAAAACCTGAATAAGGCTCTACAAAAGCTCTACGCTGATTCGGAGCGACTGCGCACTCTGAACGAGGCTCAACTGATGACTGCCCTTCGGGAACGCGCTGCATCAGCGCCGGAGGCTTCGGGCGGCGTCGGCGCCCAACTGACTGACGATTGCCCCGAACTGTCGCTTCTTTCCAGTGGCTGCTCAGCTTTGCAAGGAATGTTTCCACCGGCATCCGTCCATGAGCAGTTCCTACTCTCGTGCAATTGGCATGAGGTCTGCTATGCTTGTGTAAGTAGCCACAAGTTTTCAAAGTGTTATGGCCATTTGGTGCGACACGTCTAGTTAAAAAATACATCGATTTTAATTGGCATCTTTTAAAAAGAGAAACGTTAATATAAGGTCTTTATTGGATTTTCCTCGCCGACCGCTTTTAATATATACAAAATGATATTTTCAACTTCTCTTCATTCTTCAACGTAGCGTTTCGTCGTAGTATAACGATTTGCCCTCTTCGTATTTTAATAATGTTTTACTTTTCAATCCCTCCTCTATAACAGGGCACTCAGCATGGTATTAGCTCTGAACAATGCGACCGACAGTTTTTATCAGACATGCGTATAGTTTGCTCGCAGCTCGGCAGCTGCAACAAGCACATGGTAGCACTTCTACTTGAGCCGTTGCATAAACGGCGCGTCTACTTCAAGCGGAGCGTAACGCCCGTCTGCGATCGGCCGTGCGTAGCGTCGTTCCTTGCTCGGAACTAAAACATCGTTGTTTCGAAATCTCGGCAGCCGCCAGGCTCTACCGGTACACAGTGTATAGACCAGTTTAACGTACCTCTGAAAAAATTTTACGTCTCGTCCCTCTTGCGATTCTAGTGCTTCGCGCGCTAGGCTACCGGCAGCCGGGGAGGGGGGGGGGGGGTCTGGTAAAGTTTGTCGGCGGTTGTACAGCTCCTGATAAAGGATGACGGTCTACAATTGCGAATAACATTGGGTTATTAGGTTGTCAGGTCGATGAACGTCTCGCTGCAAATCTCTCCGCTTGGTTGATTAGATTTGCATGCCATAAGGTGATGGAGAGAGATCAGTTTTTAGGGTGAATATCAGGCGGACTAAGGTCGCGCGCCGCCGCGTGTGCTGTCAACAAAGCAGCAGAAGGTCAGTACAACAGCTGCAATTACAGAAGTACCACAGATCTGTTGCCTGGGGCAATATGATACTGATACGGTCAATATATGATTTCTCTTCAGGGAGAAAGTCAAATGAAATAAATGCTGGCAACATGTCTTTTTCCCTCAAATGATTTGCGCAGCTCACGCAAAAGCTATATCGTCATCTCCTGAACCAGAATGTCTTTCGGCGAGGAATATCCATGCCTGCTCTTATAGTGATACACACACGATATACAACAGACAGATAATAGAGAATAAAAAGGAAGAGGACGCAACAGAGGAAAAGACATAAGTAGGAACATGACCTTATACGATACTAAAATAACAATAACATCATTATTATAATAACAGCAGACGAATTATGATATACACATGTAGAGGTACTTAGAAGTGGCATCATTAACGAATAGAACTAGGTAAGGCAGGACGCCAACAGCACAGCGATCGTGAAACAGATTGTTTAATGGCATACGCTATATCAATGAAGAGACCTGGGAAAACATGAATGACAAGAAGTGAGTACATATAGAACGATAATAACTGAGTGATTTACGGCTAGTAGTTACAATGGCAACGTGCAATCGGAGTAACTTCGAGGGTGCAAGATGGATTCGGATAGAATACGAAGGCTATGATTGTTATAACAGGACAATGATTAACAGTGATCATAGAAAATGCCCTGTTTGGAAGAAGGTGGGGCGCCAGAAAACCATGAAGGAAATCTGATATACTGAAACAGATCGATTTTAGTTATACGGCCACGAGGACCTGTTTCGCAGTGGGAACAAGAAGTCACTAACTTTGACGTGATGATGATGATGATGATGATGACGATGGCGGTGCAATATCGAAAGAGTGGCATCGATCGACCAATTTATTCGGCCGAAATTGAAACGAAGAGGGGCAGGCCAACAAAGACTGAAGTTGGATTCTAAATAGGACGTATACAGTACGAAGGAGGCAACGCGGTGTCCTCTTGAAGTATAATTGCTATGGTGTGACCATCTATGTTAATTGTATCAGTGAATCATCGTTAACAGTAATCACGTTTGTGTATTATTGCTATCCATTATAATTCAATACCAACCTGAAAGATCACCTGCATGGGCCGTAAACACTTACTTACATGGTGGGAGATGAATAATCTAAGTTATATGTCGAAGGGGACAAGCAAAATAGGGGGTAGATACAATCCTGTGCGAAGTTGCGATCGTTAGAATGGTTTGGAAAGAAATGAGGAAACGCAGACGTACATTTGAGAAAGCCAGTCACTGCGAACGAACGGGAGTGTTATGAAAGACACTGCACATCATTGAAACGTGATGTCAAACATACTGAAACGCGCGTTGTCACGTGGGACATATAACATTATCATGTAACAACAATAATAATTACTAATAACAGTAATACCAACCAGAATATATTAAAGTAATAAACATAACAATATTAATAGTAATGTTATATTCTCAATAATAACTATATATACATTCAATATATCTACTTTATCTCCTACATTGAAAAAAATGTCAAAAAACACCGTGCGAACACGTTTTCGTTAACGCGGGCCCCCGATACGTTCACGTCAAAGCGAACGCAACCGCGCAGATTGAAACAGTTGAAACGCTGAGAACAAACAGAAAGATTAAATCTCACACAATTCAACATAACGACGCTAATATGAAGTGTTATTACTAGTAAATGATCACCGACGACAAAACGTCGATGGCAAGAAAGCTGTTCAGAAAAAGAAGCTACAGGAACACATTTTCCTAAAGACAACAAGATACCAGCTATCACTACAAACCCCCTATAAGATAAACGGAAACGGATGGATACAGGTGGGCCGCATCGGATCGTATGGAGGACTGCTCTGATAGTAAGATCAGGCACAGCAGCAATAGCGACACACCGTTATAACATGGAACACGTCGACGACGACCTGGAAAGCGAGCGGAAAATACGTTGGTATACGTACACAAAGATCTAGATAGACGATGACAACTTAAGGGTCTGTCATTCTGAAAACAACACAGTAGTAAACAAACTAACTAATAATTGCAGTGAATACTAACGACAAGCTATTGATTATACTAGTTTCTTTAACGATAAGATTAAAGAAATCATCTACATATACTGACTGTGCTACGTCACAGTTGGAGGTTATCGAGGTAACACGAATAGAAAGAAAGAAACTGCGTGCGGGGGGTGCAAAGGGAAGAAGGGGCAGATGAAAAGAACAACAGGAAAAAGGTTCTAATGAAAGCCAATAATGGGCATGTGATGACAGCTGAAAACGATGCGGTCTGTTGAGCGGTAACGGCTGACGTTGTTAATAACCGACCACCGACTGAAGAAACAGAAGCTACTTAAACTCAACGTGAAAATGTCATAAAATGTTGGAAAAAAAATTGGACAGATGATAAAGGAATGCTGAAGTGTTTTGTATTGGAACGGTAATAAAGATTGCGGAAACGGTTGTTATGATCTTCCGAAATATATGATAGACAATTCGTGAAAAAAACGAACGTTGTAGTAACGATCTTTATTATTATTATTAGAAGGAACAGTGAGGGATGAACTGGACTCGCTATAGAGTACAAGTGTTTCGGCACAATGCCGGCAAAATTTCATGTTCTGCTGAGTGTACAAAGGTACATAAAGAGCACATAAAAAATGTTTAAGTTAATTATTAGTCAGGGGATGAGCACCCATACACTTATGTGACGTACCAATGTGGCGAGCATTTACCTAGCCGTGGCTGTAACTCGCTCCCATTAATCTAATATCCTCCCACTGTTGAAAACAACGGTATAGGCCTATACGTGTCCTGACGGAAATTGTTTACGTGGCTTGTTTCAATCGTGCTGTTATCGCTACGAAGGACAAAGCTTTATATGCCTATTCGAAGAGCATTCATTGTCTAGTCATTCCCCTAACTAATCCGGCGGGAACACATTTGCATCGATTACAAACTACAGGAAAGTACCGCGTGAGCGTCAGCAGCGAGCGGCCGAATAGAGATTCATGCCAAAAAAGCTCACCTATCCCCCATCAACCCAGCACAACTGATCTGGGGCCTACTTCTTTTGGTGGCGTTACTCTGTTCTTCATTCTATGTATTTATCCTTTGCTCCGGTCCGACGTGCTGCCGGACACTTCCACGAACCGGTAGCCCTCTATTTGAGCGGAGCATCGTTCTTGATAAATACTTACACTATATACGTTTGTTTTCTAGTATTGGAGTCGTATTCGATTAACTAACGGTATTTCAATGAAGATTTTGTTAATTTTGTTTTCATAATCCTTAATTAAACATCGCTTATGGAACAGAAGGCCCACTTGGCCTGATTATTGACAGTCTCCAACATGTATGCTCACAGCGAACACTTAGCCGTTGTACTATTCGCATCTCATATACACCTAAAAAATCAGCTAGTTCGCTCAACTAAGCGATTTGTATCTTATAGGCTGGCATTCAATAAAAGGCAGTAACTACCTGATAAAGGACAATGGCAGAGTTTCGATGTAGCAAATCGCTCCCAACGAGCCATTATTATTTTCGGCAGGGATATTTTTCATAGGGCGTATATACGGGGCATAGGCACCCTGCTACAAATCGTCAATTTCAGTGAAGTAACAAGGACTCGAAAACGTCAAAGTCCAACAAAACTATTCAATGGAAGCGATAGGAAGTCCGGCTCTCATAAAAGAAAATACACTAATTTGAAAGATTATGAGACACGAATGAAGAAGAACACGACAGTATAAATACTAAATTAAATATAGATGCAACAATAACAATACTAACGATAATAATAAAGGTTTGTTTTTATCTTAAAATGATCGCCTTTTCATTGTTAGTCTATGGTACATGTCGTCCTTGGTTTATTATGTACCTATTTGATCGCATCTATCGCGGATAGTAGGCGCCCATCGTAACGGAACATTCACTAGCAATCTCTGGCTTTTTTTTTTTCATTGCGGTATTTTCTCGGCCTATTCAGTTACGTAATTAGGGAAGACGGACAAAAAGCTTACGAGGAAACATGTTTCTAACAGATTCATACATGCAAAAAAAAAAAAAAAGGATATATATGGGTTGTTCATACTACGTTTGTTAACTAGTATTAGATAAATACGAAGTTTCAGCCAGTTATTAATAAATTACTCTGCGCACGGTAGTACGATGCATGCATGTTTTATGAGGTGGAGAATGTTCTTAAAAAAATTACTAGATAAAACCAATTTATATAATCTAATAAAAAAAAAGAAACTGTATAAGCAGATACATAACTGCCTGTTACGATGAGCTATCGACCGGTTGACTTCAAAGATTTAGGCCAACAAGTTAGAGCCTTGGTCGAAGGCGCCATACTCAAGTACAAACCGCCTATAAGGTCACGGTACAAAAATTTCTTTCTATACTACTAGTCCAATAATACAATGATGAATACGTTCTATAGATAGAGTAGATACACCGGGAATTAATAGGAAAATATCATCCGAGTAACTTATTAGCTCCTAAAGATTTTTGAAAAGTTTTTATTACGGTGGAAAACGTTCGCACTACGAACGGTTCAGCAGCTAGAGCTTTAAGATAATCCCGATTACAGCATGAGGATTACTAGAAAGCAGACTAGTAAAAAATTATTTGGTCTTGTCATGGTTCCCTATATAGATGAAAAAAAACTCGTTCTTTTTATGTACAATAGGTTCCTGACGCGGTAGAAGCAAGCACATATTTTGGTGAACCTGCCACACTATCGAAGACAACAAAAACAGACCTATAATTGCAACGCAAGGCTATTGAAAACGGTTAGGCTACTCTGATCGAAAGTATCTTTTCCAATAAAAAAATAAGAAATCGAATAATTAAAATAGCTAACTGGCATGATTTACTTGCTTTGTCTTCAGGTATAGGCACGTCATAAAAAGCCATTTCGAAAGGTGCTGCACAAATTTGAACTGCGCGGTTGTCGGGCGTCGTCTTTCCATCCAGTACCAACCTCGCTTGCGCCTGTTTCCTTCCCTCATTTATTTTTTTTTGGCTGATCGATGCGAACTCAAACTCGAAGTGCTGGTTCGGACTCCGACTGCGATACCGGCAGCGCCAGTATCAGCTGCACTCTCCCAGTTCCCTCTGCCAGCTCTGAACTAGGGTCTATGCTGAAGCTCTCCGCTCTGACAGTGACTGACTCACCATTCACCAACACCCCAACACCACCTACCCCGAACCCCAACGCCCGACCTATAGCAATACCTCCTCTACGCGTGCTCCTGCAGCCAAAAAGCAGCTACTACGGATGGGGGTGCCTCTGCTACTGCCCTAACTTCCTTTCGGAACGCCGACCGCTGGCCGCCAGTCTTCTTGGCCCATGACGCGCGTACACCATCTCTCGTTTCTAACCCGTAGCACGATGTTTCAGCTCGGAGCCGCCCTCTCGTTCTCTTAAGTCCCGCTCGACTCCCTGTCGACTGTATACAGCTCCCAGTTGTTGGACAGCAGACAAGAATGTCCCCCAGTACTTACCAGCATCACGACGACTACAACACCAGCAGCGGCAGCAAATTCAGTCGAGGGGAGCAGTAGCCATCGGAACGGAAACGCACCTTTCAGTAGTAGGACAGACTCGCAGTCGCTATTCCTCCGCTGCTAATGGCGACAGACAAGTTGCGAACTGCTTGCAAAGCAGCTAAGTTGGACGTCGTGTATGTGCGAATGTGAGTTAAAATGGCAGAGTGACTGAGTCTATTGAACTCAGTGGCTTCCTGTTAAAGCATTGAAAGTCACTAGATAAGCAAGCCAATACCGCAACGCTGCCATCAAGGAGAACCAGCGGAAGAGTCTTTGAACTATTTTTACAATTATTAACCGTCCATGCTGTGCTACTAAGTCTGATTTTACTGCGATCGGCCGTAAAGTGAGTCCGAAATGGCGATCGTCCCAGAGAAGGTGCCGCTGACGGCAAACACATCGGAGGAACAGTCCTTTGCAGGTGGAGTGCACTTATAAGCTATATACCCCCGTGACGTGTCAAACTCGATGTCAATGCATACAATAGCGGACAGTTCAGTTTTGCCTTGAGAGCATTGAAACGGTGGACGCGTTAAGTCAAGCGACGCCAGACTCAGGACGAAAGTCTAGCGCTCGTTTTGACGTTGATTACACCGAGTGGCCTGTTTTTTTAGGCCATTTGAAGCAATTTTACTAGTCAATCAACTATGAGCTAGAGAAGCGTCTGCCTCAAGGTGTATCCATAAACAAACAAAGTAATGGAAACCATTCACTCTGTATGCCCGTTGGGTTATGTCAAAATTTACTACAAGTAGAATAGCAGTCACTCGCAACACGCGCCAAAAACGTCACCCTCCGAACGTCGAATAGGCGACGTAAAGAAATTCGTATCTGAGCTTCCCGCGGCAAACTGTTATAAAAAGCGGCAGCCGTAACAATGGCAATTCCTCAACTATTACGATGTGTTTATGGTCGGTAACAGAACGCCGAAGGGCAAAAATCGACGTGCATTTAAAGCAAAGTGATCCGAGAATTGATTGCCGCTTGCGAGACGGTCCTCATCGGCCTGATTCGGCAAGCCATTCATAGCGCCAACGAAACGAGTCAAAGGAGACGGTCGCTACGCAAGGCCAGCCTGACGGGCTCATCGAATCCTATGCAGAAGGGACATCAACAAAGACGGCTGTGGCGGTCGCTTAACAATAATCTCTGGCGCGTGGATGCGTTTATATTGTAGCTTCTTACTTACTGTGAGGACAATTATCAAAAAGACAAGAGGATTCGCAAGGTAACTCTCCAATGAATAATGCGATAGTGTAGTTACAGTCAGAACCATCTACAAATGGCTTTATAAAATAGACTGGTGGCATATTGATTAGGTATAAGCTCACCGTCTCGTCGCTATAATTCAGTTTCTGTATGATTTCATTCCAATCGGATTTAAGGAAAAATCACTTAATTTTCCCATTCTGCTTCCATGTTTTGGTCAGTATATAGTTATCGAATGACCAATACAATAGTACATAGCGTTCATCGTCCGCATAACCCTCCAACGATAATATACGCGGAGAACTTCAGTTAAATGTTGTAATACTAATCAACAGTAACGATTGTGTCATCTGCCTTCGTAATAACTCGTACTCGAACAAATTCAGATCATCTGATCATAGACGTACGCAGACAGTCAGCCAAACGCATTATGGGACTTCGGATCGACACGCAAGTCGTAGATGCTTATCGTTGCGCACATAGTCAGTCAGCGGCCATGTCAGCGTGACGCCAGCGATGGTCTAGCACGGTCTATCGTTAACGGAAGGAAGGAAACATTTGAAACAGTCAGGCTCTGTTTAGCAACTATAGCATTCGTCATTTAAGCGCTAGAATCTGCTGTAACTTTTGTTGTCTCAGATAAATACCCTAGCATGTGCTTGCCCCCGTAAAATTTGCCCACCATCGTGGCGATGCAATGACGGCGTTGTTACTGAGCGACCCGGAGTTGGAAACGGCAGCGTCACAATATGCGGCGTCTGTTGTTGGCTATAGCTGTTATTGACCACACTGGAGGAGTGCACAAGGGTCTTGCTTGCCACGAGTCGCTGCTACTACCACTATACGCCTACAAAGAAAAAGTACATGAGCGAACAAAAGCTATCGACAACTGTCGTTTGTCGTTGTCGACTGCCAGTACGAGCGGGAACTGAAACTCGCCAATGGCGAAACAGAATCTGTTAAGCAGCCTTCCATTTTAACCGATAGTTTTCAGCGTCGCTTGACGACAAACGTAAACAAAGCATAAGTTCGAAAATGGAGCACGCCCAATTATTTGTCTTTACAACGTTTTCACAATGAATTGTTTAGAAGGGCACAAAGTTAGCTGGACGGTACATATGGGTAAAAATACATGAAATTTATTTAATTTGTTGGCTAAAGCTTAACTCGGATGTTATTATTATTATTATTATGATTATACTTGAAGTGTAAGTATTCGTTAACAATATGGCTGAGGAGTCAACTTTTATTTGTGCGTATCTAACTGGATAGGAAGTTGTGCTACCGATAACCCTACATCTGTACTCCAGTATGAATAGTTTACAGAGCTATAATGATACCATCTGCCCAGAAGACATCATCTAGAGACATAAACGCTGCTTCTTACTAAAGCTTTTAGTTTGAATACGGTATAATATAGGTTATTATATTACTTTAGGTAGTTCCTGAGATACAGCTAGAAAAGTATGCACGTTTATTACTATAGAACGTTGTAGGACCATGGGTATTTCAATATACGACGATCGGTTGAATTGTCTAGGATAGTATGAGACTTTCATATATCTCAGCAGCCTCTACGTGCCTCAGGTCTAGACTTCAGGGAAAGAGTGCGCCTTTTCCGCGTTCCAAAAATCAAATATGTCAAAAAAATTGGTATATAAAACTGCGAATTAATATCGCTGTTTTTAAATAGCCTATTTAATGGCTGCTATATCCTTTTTATATCGTAGAACCTTGTGTAAAGTGTTCCCCTATTAAGCGGTCATTTTGGTCATATTTACATCAATCGGTAGCAAAGGACGAGGAGTTATGGAGAATTATTGAGACGACCAACAACTTCCACCCGTTATCCTTTACCAGCAATTCTTATCTCTAAGTGTACGTATATTTTAAGGCAGAACTGGGTATTCGTCACATGAATCATAACTCAGAATGCTGTTAGGCCTATTTATATTCAATCTATAACGCGGTGGGCCTTTGTATCACCTAGCAAATTGTTGACCTCTTTCGCCAGACGTTATCATTAGTAGGCACGCTAACGGCTAGCCATCGAGGCACGTTTCTCAGTGGATTCCATACCTTCTATCGTGCACGTTAGACCTTTCTAGTTAAACCCTACGAATGTCATTGGACTTCATTGATTCTTGTCGACTGTTAATGCCGAGCTGGACGTTTGGCAACATATAATGAAAGCACTCTCGCGTTTGCACCTGGAAATTGTTGATTCCGTACACTTCTTTTCTCTATTGATTCCCTCTATTTTTCCATAATATTTTGATCCCATATATTTTGGGCTTTGTAACATTTAAACTTGTTTGCTATGACGAGCGCAGTTAATGAAAAGACCAGAAAAATGCTTACTGTTTCTCGTACCCTAATCTTGGCAAAGCGTCTTACGATCCATTGGGCCGTTACTGGGCCACTTGCGGCACTGTTCCGTAGCTACGCCTGCCCAACATAAGGTAGACAACCGCAGCCATTAGCTGCTGATAGTAAACGAGTAATGGACGTATTAAAACTGAGAAGACTTGAATCAGTATTTACTAGCAGATGATATTGAAATGGCGAAAGGTATATAACAATATGCAATGTTGGTTTCGCCGATATTTTTCGAAGCACACCGTTATCGCCTCGCTGCCTGCTTTCATCGGCTAGAGGTTCTAGGTTTACGCTAATACAAAATTACAGACAGACTAAGCGGAGCAACAAAACGTTCGTTAGTAGTAGTCTATAGCCCTTAAGATACGGAAGGAAGTACTACACGAAAATATAACGAAATACGAGAACGAAGCGTAGATTTTCAATACGAATTTTTTGCTTTTCTTTGCGGAAAGATTAGCCGGTTGAGTATGTTTTCGAGCAGTGTTAGAAATAATTTCAACAAGGACCCGAGAAGCTTGAACCCTTTGTTGGAGGAGCACAACTATCATCATTTGTGCCCGTCGATGTCGTGCTTGTTATAGACCCGAAGCAGAAAAAAGGTGACCTTCATTTTTAAAGCAGACCTTCAGTTTATTTTAAGTTGCAGTAGTTCGTGAGTTATATCGACAATAAAAATGTGTCGTATGGTAATTTGGCTCAAGTATACCCTTACTTCGAGTTCTCGGCGTTGATAAAGATGTCGCTTGCTACCGTGAACAAACATATGTATTATCATAAGCGGGATAAGCCATTGAAATGCACTTAGAGGCATCCTCAAACATAATTAATGATAATCCCGAGCTATAGATTTCCTCCGCTATTTTTTTTACCGTACTAACCAGCGAATGACGACAGTAGAAGATGTACTGTCTAAAACAGCTCATGAAGATGAACCATGAAGATGAAGGAAAAATCATCACAACGCTGAGTTCTTGAGTCGAAGGTGACCTAAGCCTGTACATGGAGGTACCTTCCACTATCTTTATATATTTGCCCTTAGTGCAAATGCGATCAATGCGCTTTCTAATAGCAGCCAACAATATGTCATAAACATCAATTACCTGATTGCTGCGTCTACTCCCGTAGCAAGTATCTGGTGTTCTCCTATCCAGAATAAAAGCAAGACTATTATGTATGGAGGTTCCCTAGACGCTGGGCGGGTCAGAACGATAATCGGTAACTTCAATTTTAAACACGGGGCAACAGCAGCGACGGGCGAAGAGCTCACGTACTGCTGGACCTTGTAGAAGGTTATTTTTTTGCAAATAGGATGTGGTATTGTTTTTGAATAAATAATGTACATAAACGCGTTGCACCACTGATAATACAATCAGTTCAACTGTTCTTTGTTGTTAGATAAGATAAGCAATGGTAGTTGGACTCTGCGAGCGCCATGACATGAAATGTCGTAGATCCGACCAGGCTCGAAATGCGATAATATCATAGAACAAAAACTTCTGTTGGCCTGAAACATCTCGCAGAATAAATTTATAACTAATAGACGAGAGGTCACTGCATAAAGTAGTAACTGAAAAAAAATCCACGCACCAATGAAAGGTTTCGATAACTATTAGCTAGTCTATTAAGTGCTCATTAAAACACATTTACGTGTGCCGTACACATTTTCACAAATACTTCTGACATCTTGTTGTTTTTATTTATAGTTTGATCGTGGCTTTTCTGCCCGTTGGGAGACCACGCGTAAGCGGAGGCCGTGTGGCCTTAGCGAGTTCATCATCACAGGCTGGACATTGTGGTAGGAGACGATTGACGACTAGGATAACTGTGGAAGGTCGTGGAGATTCAGTCGCTGCTGGAGATGTGGTCTGTAGTGCAGCTGGGAGCGGCTGGAGAACCCGGCGCAAAGCACGCTGTTCCGACCAGCAGAAGCAAGCACGCCATGTGTGTAGGACAAGATGGGTTTTTCTATATGCTTGGAGGAAAGAGCGCCAATCTGCCTATGAAGGACCTGTGGCGATTTGACCCTGGTTAGTCGTCAGAACTAGTACATTTGCCCGTATCATTCAATTCAAAGCATGCTATTAATTGTTATTTCATTATATTACTGTCATTGCTTCCTCTTATACTATGACATGCAGGAGTCCTATACAGAGTACGACAGACACTTCTGTAGATCGTACGTATAGTATCAGACGTCAACCAAAACTGCTTGCGTATACAATTCTCTTCGAATTACTCGCAGACCCAGTTACAAAATTTCATTGTAACTAAGAACAACGGATAGGCAAGAGCCAATATAAGCAAAAAAAAATCCTAGATGAGGCTATCTCTATTATATATATATATATAAAATTTTTTTTTTCTTTTTTAGACAAGCTTGTACGTTTGGAGCCATTGTTAAACATAACATTGTCCAAAAGCAGGCTTAGCTCCTCTCAGAAAGGATGCGCTGATCCTATTCGGGTATCGTACTCTATCGTTAACCGATACTCACGGGTGTAGTTGAAGGGTCGATTAGAACAATCCCCTCAGTTTGCCCCGACCAAGCAAATCCCAGAGTTGTTTCCTTTGTGTGATACAGTATCCAAGAGGAAAATCTCACCGACCGACTCCAGCTGGGTAACACAAAAAGTATTGCTATTTACGGCTTCTTCGTCCTCACCTGCCACTAAGGCTGTGATGATTCGTAACCATTAGCCAAACGAATAGATTCAGTTCAATAGCTTGCGAAAGAAGTACTAGAATCACAGAGCATCCTATATCGATAACCCGCTAGCGGACAGCCCAGCCCCAGGTGGTGCGCATTAAAGCTAACTTTCGATCTCAAGGTTCCGCACCCCAAACCCAGAGAACATGAAAACCCAATAATAGGATTTTGGTCCGTGGAATAAGTTAATTGAATAACGATACGCAAACGAAGGTGGCAGCAAGGTTTTCCCGTAAACCAAACCGCCGGTGTTTGGTCAGTGTCCAACAGCACTATGTAGCAAGTTGAGATAACAAAGTAAATTTTATAGTAATTTTGAAGAAGTTATGCATTGCTAGATTAAAAACAGGTACTCTAATAGCCTGATCATTTAATTAATTAGCTACCCTCTCGATACATTATATATAAGGATAACTAAACTAATCTAAAAACGCAGTAATATGCAATTCACAGTTCAATAACTATGTGTTTATATATTATGATTTTTTATATTATTTCGCAGTAAAAAATCAATGGGACGAAGTTGAATCTCAAGGGGGCACAGCTCCCCCATCACTTCAGGAACATACCGTTGTGTCATGGAAGAGTAAATTATATGTTTTTGGAGGGGAAATCGGCTTCGCTTCCACCGGCGAGACCCCGCTTTGGGTATTCGATATATGTAAGTAGTTGAGTGTTATAAAAAAAAAAGTAGCGGCGGCAACAACAAGGTCTTCCAGGCAGATGATTACGTTATCTAGAAAGTTGGCTAGTTGAAAAGATTATTAAGATAAATTTCTAAATGAGCATCTTCTTTCTCTCCGAGATTAAGTTATTGTCAACATTTTACGTTGCGTATGTCCTGAAACGTCTCAGTACACGTTTTTTATTAACGATGTTACCTCGGTAGCACTGTAGTGTAACACAGCTTGGCCGCTGCTCGTGCTTGTCTCGAACGAAAGTACATATTTTCTATTTTTGTAACATTGAAATAAATCATTTGTCTAATTTGGACTGATAAAGACTGATCGATTGTGAAGAAATTCATATTAATTAAATACGAAAAGTCGGATAAGTCGGATATTCTTAAAAACTCCTATTGCTGTTTCAGGCTGCGTACAGTCGTACTACGTAAAAGGTAGGCCAAACGAAAACACGTTGTTTGAAGAAAGGAAATATTATAACTTGATTGCTTTTAACATTGTCGAGTGCTGGCGCGATCTTTCTAGTAACCGGTGTATGGCGGAAGCATGTAGTTCAAGGTCCCCAACCGTCTGGCCGTCGAGGTCACTCAACAGTGGTCTATAATGGAGCCATGCATCTCTATGGAGGCTATCAAGACCTTAAAGGATCCTCGTCTGAACTCTGGAGTTTCCATTTCGGTACGAAAATTACTCGGTATACATTTTTTAAAGGAGTCAACATTAATAATTATAAAGCTTTGAGGTTCGCAATGGACAACTGGCGCAACTTGTCCTTATTTGTTGTTTAGATACCGAAACGTGGCAGCTAGTTTCGTCAAAAGTTAAAGGCTCTTGTGGGGAAGTGCCCCCAGGTCGGCATAGCCACTCGGCAGTGGTTCACGATGGAGCGATGTGGGTGTACGGAGGCATGACGGATCTTCGTGAACGATGCGATTTTTGGAGATATGATTTTGGTATGGACATATTTTCTCAACTCAAGTGTTATAGGTAAACAAAATTCAGTTATTTCTAGATTAGACAGACTGCAATGCTCTGCGTTTACTACGTATAAACATAAGATACGAAGCAATACGTTAATAAACAAACCTTTTGGAACGTGATTCTTCCTGCTCCAGTTAACCAGCATTGGAGCCGCGTGAAGATGCTAAAAGGGGCCGGCCCAAAAGAATTGCACAGTCACGCGGCTGTATTTGCCAATCAGTGCATGTGGATCTTCGGCGGAGAGAAATCCGGAAAGCCCAGTAACGACCTTTGGCGTTACCATTTTGGTAAGTATGGCTGGGACTTTCCAAAACTCGATAATACCGTATAATATATAGTTTCAGAAGCACATCGGCTCTTCACAAGCTATACGCGCTACAATTTATGTTTACTGAGCATTCACATCCTACTGAATTCGATTCTACTACACTAAGCTTGCTGTTTATGGTATATCTCAACTCATTTCAGCAACGGACACATGGGACAAGATTCAAGCAGAGGGAGTCCTCCCAAACCCCCGATGTCGACATGTGGCACTAGCGAATCCGCAACTACATAAGTGGGCCGATAAGGTATATGTGGTGATTAGTTTTTACTTGTGTAAAAGTTGACTGTTGAAGTACAGACTGTGCCGATTGCATGGACGCTTGTTGGTATTTTTTCGTGATGAGTTATTGCACTACCATGTAAAAGAGCGGAGGGCATTTTCGAGTCAATTTGCCTCCGCTTCTTTTACAAATCGTTTCTAATTTACTGTCTAATCGAAACTATCCCAATAACCGATGTCAAAATGAATATGAGTTTTCAGGTGTTAGACACGGCACCAGCTCCTGGTTCGAAAGTGGCCCGTCTACCACCTAAATCTCAGTCGATGGTATACATTATTAGTTTAGCTTCGTTCATAAACTAATACGCACATTCGTGTGTATATTGTTTTGGGTTTTCGTTGGAGGCGCATGCCTAATCTAACATTTCAATACATCGTTAATTAGGTAAACATAGCCTTTGTCCTGTCATTGACATGCACACTTTGTTCACAAGTATTCGAAATTACTGAGTCTCTCTACATTTCGAGCTTTACGTGTGGCCCCGCCGTCACGCGTTCTGCTTTTACCCCGAAATGGATTGTGGCTATGCGCGAAGTCGAACCCCCAGAATTAACACGTTACCCACTTAGTTACCTTCCTTTGTTTTTTCTTTGGTAGAAAACTAACAGGTATGCCTTGGTTCCACAGATGACTTTTGGAGAAAGGGGTCGCGGCGGCAGCTTTAAGGTTCACCCTATGACGCGGCTCGGTCTGATAAGCTGTTCAGCGGTACCAAATGCGACTTCCGACGACGAAGATGGAAACGACCATTTTGATGCCGTGAAAGCTTATTTGACTGCTTACAACAACTCGAATCAGGGCTCGAAGTACGTAACTGATTGGGAGCTATAATTGATTCGGCTATCGTTGATTGCACGTTTTGCTTGCAGGTGAAGGCCAATAACACCACTTTGTCTGAGCATGCTCTGAGTCTAGCATTTTTTGTACTACATTCGTCTGATTATAGGTGCTTAATTAATATGCTATCTGATAATGAAATATATTCAATTATGAACCGCATGCTTGAAATCCGGTAAAAATTACTGAAGCGTAAAAAATCTATGAACACGTTATAGGCCCACGTACAGATACTGGAGGTACATTATAAATATGCCTTTTTTCCACGAAATAGCTTTGTGTCTATTTTGATTATAGCAAATAGATCGAACTGCTGTTAGTATTGTTTTCCAACCAGTCATGTTCAGGTAATTGTCATGGCCTGTAATTTGTCCGACAGAAGTCTCAAGCAACGCTTATCGACCTCACGACTGGTACGCAGCATCTCCTCTGGAAACTACCACATCACAGCGATGGGTCGACAACGGGAAGAGCTCGAACGCCTCCTTGAAGAGTCTCGACATAACACTCCCCAACTGCCGCACAAACATCACTCAAAACATCATATTTGTGACTCAAATGGAGTATGCCGACACGAGATATCTAAAAGCCACAGCTCTGACGCCGTTCTCGAATCGGAGAGTGAAAGCAACACCCCTGTGCATATGCGCAACGGCGGACACTTCCGCGGGGGCTTGACGAGTGATCAGAAAACTAGGCCGTTCAGCGAAATTATCGCGCCTTCACATCAGATCGAAGTGTTCCAGCAACGCCAAGAGGTATGCTGTAGCCGCGGTAGGTGATAATTAATGTACTCGAATGCGTCTGTAGATTTTTCTTCCGTAAAGCGAATCTTCAAAGCCATAGGCACAGCTGTTTTAAGCCGTCAGCCGTATAACATGAATTAAACTATCCTGTTACAGAATCCGAAAATAATGTATAACTTCGAAACGGACAACCCTAGGATTTGTTTGTGTTGTTTTTGATTTTTATAGGCATTACCTCTGCGACTTTCGCCACCGCCCGCTAATTCGCGACCTTCACGACGAATGCATGCGTCAAAAAGTATGAGTTTTGCGCATCGCAAAGATGACACCTTGGCCATGGACAGACTACAGGAGGACATTCTTCACCAAGCGGGATTCTGTTCGACAGCCTCATGTCATTGTTCGCTACCAGCGGAGAACGGAGAATTGAAAAAGACGGTTGATGGGGGAGACTCGAAATCAGCTCCTTTCCGGGTTCAGGGTCTTGCAGCCTTGTGTACATACGAGGGTACAGAGAATAGTGATCCCGGTGATCAGGGCGAAGCTGATCTTCGTGGATTTTCGAACACTGTCCAAACCACGCAGTACGGACCTTTGACGCACATCTCAGACCTTGACTCATCAGATACGGACACCGGAGAAGGTGGGGACGGCGAAGCGCGTGGTAATCGCCGTCGTGAAGACCTTCTCGTCGAACTTCGGAAGAACACCACACCACTGTCACGAAGCACCGCCAACGAACTGGAAAGAATTCGTTTTTCAAGTCGCTTTACCTCGTTCTCAACACTTTCCGAATTGAACAATATGGCCGTTAGTCAAGGTGCGTCACGAACCTGATCGTATAAAACGCACGTTTAGCAGACGCTCGATGATAAACACCAATTAAAACGAAAGGGATAGGAGGGTCCGCTATCACGGACTGCATATTTCCTGAGGTGTGGAAATCATTTTCCCCCGACTGGCGAAGTACCCTAATACTATTACTGAATGTATTGTACCCGATCCTATACTGCTTCATTCTTTTTATGCCTTATTTAATAGACCCATCTCACTTCAGTTTCTAAAGCAGTCCGCGTATACCATGGATTATTCGTAAAGTGTCTCTGCAAATTAAATTCGAACTTCTAGATATGAATGTTCTCGGCAACCTGGCAAAGACTCGTTTTTTTTTAACATTTAATCTTTTTTACAAATTCTTTGCGGTATTATCTACATGTTAAGTTAACGCTAGTTCCGTTTAATCTCCTAATCGTTTGAGCAGCGCCAGAATATTCACCATAAAAAATCGATCGATAAATTACATTTATTCTCTGCTTTTCCCTCTGTGTTTCTGTTTCTGCAGGCCGATCTCGGATGCCGCATAGCGTATCCCATTGTTCTGGGTACTACTCGTTTGTTGAAGATGATCCAGACTTCCAGAGAGACATTGCAGTCTTCTTGCAACCTAGCGGGCGGACCAGTCCTCCGAAGAACACTTTCGCTAGTTTGCTGCTCGGAAATGATCACCCTAAGGAGACACCCATCGATAATGCTAAGGATGGTCTCGAGTTGACAACATTCTCGGCGCTGTCAAACGCAGCGGCACCGGCTATCGCGGAGCTTAAAGAGCGCGCCAAGAGCTGGGATCGCGCATCAAAACGAGTTCTTCTCCGTGGGACTGGGCCGAATGAAGGGTGTGGCAGTGCCGGGGCTGGGAGCGTAGGCGGTGGTACACTGATTCGGGAGACCCGCCTCAGGGCTCTGCCCTCACGGGCTTTGGCAATTCATGCAATTGCTGAAGAATCTGTGCATGGCTCGCCCATTCGCATCTCGTCCGAATCGTGGAGTCTCCACAACGACGATGAGGAGGTGGAGGCTGACAGTGACGCAAGTGACGCGTCGACCGAGACAGGAACTTCCTGCAGCAATAGCCAGCAGGACCAGTGCGCCCCGCAAGTCCACAAGAAGCATCAGTTACAGTTACAGCAGCATAAACATTCGCGAAACTCCTCCACGAATCAACAGGCCGGTGGGGACGAAGGATGTTATCTGCCCGGGCCGAAGCGACAGCTGCAACACTCGAGACCTGATGTACACAATTGGCAGCTGTGTCTTTACGTTTTCGGCGGGCAGGAGGCGTCCACGCCGGGCATGTATCGTTCGCCCATGACTGTATGGCAGTTGTTCGTGTGAAACGATAAATGGGTCAGTCAGGTCATATCTATGGGTGACTGAATGGGTGAATGTGCAATTGAATGTCTGCTCCTCCAGCCGATGTATCTGCAACGCGAAATCTAGCACGGATCTACTTTAAGTGGTAGTTAACTCGCCAAAAAACGATCCGGCAAGGATGTCGGAGCAAAAGGTAGACCAACGCTAGTCTGACTGCGCAGCCATGATAGCACATGAGAAAGTGCAGCAACTGAGTGGATAGAGAAATGGGCGAAGCACACAAAAGAAACGTGCAGGAAATTCCGAATGAGTAGGTCATTATTGATTTTGAGTGGCATTAAACTGAGAAAATATATTTACTATTATCCCAACGACTTATTGCCAGGCCGAATTCGGTAGCCCAACGGCGATGACGCGTGTCGACCCGATACGAGGAAGCGACACAAAAGGGTAACCGGAAAATGTAACGACGGAAAATGCCGTATAGTACTATAGATTAGTCTTATCAGTCCAAGAAATGACCATTTTGAATGAACGAACCGTACCATTTGTCTTATATCCCATTTGGGTTTATCAAGCCCTCTTTTTTCCTCTACATTATTCGCAATCAAGGTCAATGATCATCATCGACATGTACAGCCAGTAAAAGCAGGAGGATAAGAGGATTTTTAATAACCTCGGCATTCGTTGACACCGCACGAATTTTCAATAAGGGCCGCGAACGCTTCGGACAACTTTTCATCATAGGGGTATCAATAAAGAGAAGCTGATTCATTGAATAGAAGGCAACCGCTTCGGCAAAATAGCGCCTAACTTTAGGGAGCCTGAGGAATGTTCTGAGTCGTTAACGTCTATCAGTCAAAAACAGAAAGCTCTGCGCGGTCCGAGACGGGCTGGAAAATTGCAAAAGAAGTGATGAACAAGCTTGGTACGGTGCTACGATATAAAGAAGAACAAGTAAAGATCAAGCCATCTCCTCCGTGGGACAGAGCCGCTGTCGCGCTCATACGTTCCCGCTAGAAATTCAGTACGGGAAACGCTGCAGAATGCGATACTGATTTGTGCTTCGATCTCACAGAAGGTGCTTCTTTCATGTAGAACGGAAAGGCTGGCAAAATAACCTTAGAGCTATTGTAAGCGCGACCAGAAGTAGGCCAGAACCATTTTGGTCTGAGGTTCGCGGTCAGTGTTCATTTTTCAAACCTATACACAGGCAGTATCAACTATGCAGGATAGATGGCGGTCAGACGGTGTATTTAGCGAGAGTGCTGTGGATGAACTCAGAAGAGAGATGGTCTTCAAGTCAAGCCAAGCTATCTAATCCCAGCTAGTTAAAGAGGCCATCTCGAGTATTAACGGAAGGTGATTTGCTGTTGCCGCAAGGCCAAGGCCCGCATATATGATCTGAACGATTCGCAGCGGTCGGCAATGATCTAAAGTGGAATCTATCTTCGAGCCATTGCAATGTGTAAGCTTCGATCTAAGTAGATATATCAAGCTGAAAACGACATGTTGTTTTTAAAAATGATCCACAAGTAGTGCCAACTTTTTCCGAAGCTTGAAAATGCGCATAGATCTTCGGTACTCCTCCTTAGGACGGACCCTATCTAGCCAACTCGCACTGTTTTATTTGTATGCATCGAAGCAGATGTAGTTTAGAAGCGCACTTCTCAAGAAGTGCCCAGGTCTAGCTGACGCCTGCTTTGGCATCCCAACCAACCCAGCAGTCATTCTATGCCATTATTATTACTATTCATTAATGCTATTTTTATTACATTATCGGCCACTATTCAGTGCACGCAGTGCAAATATTTGCGGCCGGTAACGTTCGTGCCAATTGCAGAGACCGCTTGGGTTGCCAAATAGTAACCCAGTAACAAAAAAAGATAGAGATAAACCGATCATGACATACTGCAAGGAATGTATATTGGGTCATTTTCGGACCAGTTGATTATGACCATGGTCTCAGGTACTATGCGCACTTGCTCATTATGAGGACGGATATCGCCACCAGAAACAGCTTTTATCGTTTGCAAAAAAGGCCCGCCCGTACCCACTGTGCAGTTGTTAATTAGAAGAGGGGGCATCACAACGCACCCCACATCAATACAGAACGATGACAGGCGCATAGAAATACTATATTAACAACCTCAGTGAATCATATGGATAAAATCATCAAAAAAACGAGACCGGGTGAGAAGTTTCGTTATACGAACTATACGTGTATCATAGGAGGACATGATCCCGTCGGCAGATACCATCGCCAGCCTCGCTGCAGGATAATGCAATAGATAACACGGGCAATGCTTTAGAACAAACTAAATTTCAATATGGCTATTCATATTAGTAATATGGTCACTGATAACTATTCTCTGGAACGGGAGGTAACTGTGATTTTCTTGTCCATGTCCTACCTGAAAAGATAGTTACACAAATAGTTTGTCTAGGCAGGTTTAAAATTAAATTTAATAGCTTTTTTCAATCGGCATAGGCTATAAGACGAACGGACTAAAACGGGTGGAGTATCAAAAAAAAAACACCTCAATCCAGACTTGTAATTACTAATTAGTTACAGTTTCCGTTGGGCTTATGGCCTGACGACGATCTGACCCATCTCCTCGCCAGGGCAGGGTCCGACTGTCAATGTGAAGTTATTACGCCTCAGTCGAAGCAACTATGGAGAGTATTTACAAAAACGCTGAACATCGCTTTCTGACGGTTGAGCCATCTGCTTATTTTTTCTGTCTAGAGAATAGCAATCACCTTGCCTGTTATCTACATTTATTACTACTAGTATATACTATGGCAGTGCCGGCAACACCAGAGCAGATGGCGATGTCTTGCAAAAACTGTATATTGTCTGTGTTTCAATAAAGAAGACAGAGAGTTACGTGATGAGTCTCGGAACGGTATGAGTAAGCCGTGGACTGCCATTATTTAATATATATATATATATATATATATAGATGGGGAAGAACGTTTTATAAAAAGTGAATAGTAGTCAAATAGAGCCACAAGCGACTATGTACGTGACAGCATATGAATGATGGTGGCTAACTACCGAATACGTAGATCTCACGTCCGTAACGTACGCTTCTGAGCATAAAAGGAAATGCTACAAGGAACAATTGATGGCAGAAAGGGAAAATGAATGTGGCAGACGATAAGAGACTGTGTGACAATACGACGTCCTAGTGATTCCCCCTTGGGAATCGACGCTGTCGATTAAACAGCGTGTCTATAACAGATCGGGATTTTTTACGCGACGATCAGAATAAATAAATAGGATGACGTGATGATAGGTCAGAAGACGACGACGATAACGAGGACATCGATAACAGTGATCTGATAGCGATTATTATCTATGTGGTAAATGCCGAATAGCAAAACGCTTTAAGTAACAAATACAAATAAAAAGGTAATATCATTTCCACTTATATATATATATATACACGTCTATTTGTAAGGACGAGTGTGAGAGAATGGCACCTTGAATTGCGTAGAGGCAAGCCGCAAATCAGCCCCCCCGCAAAGGCTGCAAAGCTAAGATTACAACAAGAAGAATGCTAATATAACTGGTCCTGGTGTACTCGTGTTTTGTCTATGCGTTCACATACGCTGTGAATGTAACAGTAAGCATATTGAATATCGCAAGTTGATTGTGCGATAGGACCAACAGGATGACGAAAGGTGAGCAGAGCTGACTTAAGCCCCTCCGTTGGCTGTAAGGCCTCGGTCATTCGGTTCCATGCCATTCCTTCAAGATCCGTCCCTCAGAGAATAGGTGGCTCAGGGTAATGATGGTCAAAGGTTGGATATCCGGCCTGCTACCTACTGGACGCTTTCCTGTGTGCGTCCCTAGATAAGTGACGAGTATATGGGAATCAGCTACTCCAGGTGATAACTGTCTGGTAGAAACATGAGGAGCCATTGAACGGATAAGGGTTCACAGTCTATTTTAACTACTTACATGCACTCGGCCGATCTTTTTTGTTCTTTCAATAATTTTGACGTATCATATCGCTACGATTAACATTTGTAACTTGTCAGTGGTCGTGTGGGAATGCAAAACTGAGCTTCAATCGTTGAAAGCTACGGATTGTGTACCAGTAGCGAATATTGGATACGAGGCGTTGCCTTTCGCCTGCAATAGACTGAAAATACTAGATACGTACCGTTTCAATAAATACAAGACGCATCGAATGATCATAACATTAGTTGTGGTTATATGACTAAGTATATAAGTCACATAGACGTGAACATTGGTAAGCACCTCAGGTCGGCTCGGCACGCCGCAGGTGCTTAAAGGATAGGACAGAGACAGGGAGTTAGACAGGATGAACGAAAAATATCGAAAAGAGATCATTTAAACACAAAATTATGTCTACTTCATGATCTCCGTTTGCTTCAGCTAAATAAGAGAGATTCTGTACGAGGACATACGAGCGAAGCAAAACAACGCCTACGACCAAAGTGGTGATACAGGACGGCTTCAGCTGCAGGACGAAACTTTTACTCGTTCCATCTCGAAGTCTGAAGTGATGGATGCGAACGAGATGCCTACTGCGATATCACGAACGCCATAATAGAAATCCACTATTCAGATCAGAGTACGACCGTTACAGAAGCATGAAGATCAGCAGACGATTCATCGACGACCATTATTATTATTATTGACAAAGTACAGAACGGCAAGGAAGGCAAAACCTATTGAAATTCAAAAATACAGTATATATATATATATATATATATATATTGCCACAGTATATATATGCGCCTAGATAAAGTGACTGTGAATGGATAATGTGTAAAAGAGGGGAAAACTTGAGATGATCGTTGCTTCCGCGGATCGAGGTAGTCCGATCCACAAACGCCGAGAATGAATACCAAGTACGGATAATTATAATAATATAAGTATATAAAGAGTAATAATCACACCGCAACAATTGAAATAAGCGTATAGTCAACTAACTACGATGATTTTTTAACTTACGTAAGGTCAGATGCTACATAACATAACTAGTCATTTTGACAAGTCAATTATACCACAAGTATTATCAGTTAGTAAAATTGATAATCTGATTGATTGGAGCGGTATTGAAATAGGCCGATTCTAAATAATTTTATTGAAGTAGACGTTAAATAAAAACACGAGCAAATAAACGGGAAAATTTACATGAGCGGGAAATTAGCTTGTTGTAGATTCTTAGCGATGCAATGATTTCCTACTAAAATTATTTCGAACCCAAAAAGAGTAAAAGTAAAAAAAAGACGATAAATTTCAAATACTTTTTGGAACGTTGTCAAATGTTTACAGCTTCTGTATGCTTTCCAAGAAAAACACGCTTAATTTTTATTTCTAAGAAGGACGGAATTTTCGTGTAGCAGATTTGAATGCGGCTTTATTACAGAGTATTTTTATTATAAAAATAGAGGCTGTGGCGTTTAGCGGTCAGCAAACTCGTCACGGAAACGCTAAAGGTGTAACATTTAAGCTTAAAAGAGAATAAATGACAACACAAAGTCTATTCCTGTGTTTCTGTTTTATTTTTAAATACAAATTTTCGTTTCGACATTATCTATAGACGTACGCAAGTTGAGGTCGTGTCTGTTACTGTAAATTCACTATACTTCTATGTATTGTTTTTTTATTATATTAAAGAATAATATTATTGTTCTAAGGGGTACCGGAGCTAACGATACACACAAGACATAGTGGCACACATCCGATACGGATCGAGAGGTGCGTGAAGTCATTGTTAAGCAGACGGGATTTAAATCCATCACTGTCACGTCAACGTCGTCCGACGTAGAAATTTGATTATATGAATTTATCTATATGCTATATATGTACATCGTTGTCGCGCCATAAGCCCGCGTGGGCAGACGCACACTGTGCATTCTATCATGATCAAGCAGGCTTCGACCATCAAAGTCACTGTTTTTAATCTTCCTAAAAACAGAAGTTAGTTAGCGATATTGATTGATAGGAACCAGAATTAAACAGCATTGAACTAGCTCGTCGATTGACTGGATTATAAAGTGATTTAATCTTACTCCGACGACAGCTGAATTTTGCGTGGTGAAGAAGGTACGGTAACAGACCGTTCCGGAAACGATGGGCAATTACCAATGAAGATATTTCAAAGGAGTAAGCATTATACCCGGGCTCGAAATATAGGTAAGTGCTAGATGGATATTTATATATAAAACAACAGAACACGGAAAATAAGTTGCGGTGCCAGTGAGTTCAGGTTATGCTTAGTATATTAGCGGAAGTAGAAAGATTAGCTTTGTCTCTTCTTAGTTGATGCAGTGCAATCTAAATCATTATTGCAACTCATCATGGCTATGCTACACAATAACATGGCGTCATACGGCGGGCAATTCGTTTTTTCTACGTTGGTCCATTTAGAAGTAAACACGGAATTGCCCCCAGTCGCTTATTCGCATTTCGCTTATTTCGATCATAGGCACACTTTATTAACATGCATTGCCCTTCATATGGGTTATTCATTGAGATATTGATCTGGCTAAATTTTTTTTCCGTTAGTTCGAAGAGGTGGCTGGTCGAGTAATTCCACAAGAAACCAAAAAGGAAATATTCTTACTCGTATTTTCGATTACTTTGACCCAATAAAATCCACAAGATAGTCGCGTCTCTTGAAAAAAACCAGCTTAGCTGGCATATTAGATGGCATCTATTGAAAAAAAAAACAAAAAGTTGAATCAATAAAATTTTATCTATCATAGACTACATAATCGTTGGGTCGACGAGAGAGTATCTAATCAGAACTGTGCGATGGGCTCAAGGGGTGCCATAGGCGTAATGGACGATTATAGCCTATAGATTAAGCAATGAGACGATTATTGTTACTGATTCTATCAACCACCGTTGCTGTTTTGACCGCGTTACTAACGAGCGAGTTCAACTGACGATCGAATGGCTTCTCGTCGACGAAGGATCTGCACTAAGTAGCTCATCTTTTTCTACTCATACATACCCCGTTTTCGCTGCAGCTATAGATAGAGAGATTTCATCGTAAGAAAAATTCTCGCGGTACATCTATCGAGTACCCCCTTAACGATTATTCAGACAGCGCATCGCATTATAACATGCTCTTTGTATTTCAAAATCGGCCGCGGGTCCTAGTGTGCTAATGACGGTGATGTGGCGGTTCTTTTTAAATATTGCGCTAGTGCTATTTATACTATGATCAATTGGAATGGGGCCCGTTCAACGTTATCTTATCTAAATGTTAAATGCTTAGGTTTATGTCACTTTTGACAATGGACAATAAGGAAAGTGACATCGATTTTGTATTTTTAGCCTTTTCAGCTTGTCGCACATTCAAAGGTCAAACTGGCAGAATATTTAGGTATTTGCTCTCACGCCATTTTGCAGATAGGAAGCCTGCAAGATAAATAAATCACATTACGAAGAAATCTCGTGGCACTGTCCCGCGCTCTCTTTTCTCCCAAGTAATACATGTCTACAGAATAAATTACAATTATCAGATGTGTGTGTTGCTATATTTTACCGTGTGAGGTTGTGTTCTACGATCATAAAAGTCACATATATATATATATATATATATATATATATATATATATGTATATGTATATGTAATTGTATCCATCTGTCCGTACGTGTATCCCTTGAGATAAAATTTACAATTTTCGATAACGTTTATTGGTTTTCGGCTTACGCTGGCTCTCCCCTGCGTACCGCTAAAGTGCATACACGAGCGGTTTAAGGGAAACGTCTATTCCTAGATCTCATCTATTAATCATGCCGCTTGATAATTTACCATTATGTCTGAATGAATCCAAACAGCATCTCCCTCTGCGTCAGTTTGTACACGTCCTTACTGAATACCCGTCGTATCAGTTTTTTTTTTTCAATGACAATTGCACTAAACATTATCCACAAACACCTTCTGCTCTAAACAAATCTCAGTGATCCTCTTCGTCATCCCTGCAGCAGCAGATGTTTCCTAGGACACTTCAATCTCTAATTGACTGACGATCTTTATATCGCAAACCTAGATTAAGTTCCAGTAGCAGGAGGAGATGGATAGATTCGTACGCACATGGTGCAAACAAATTGGATGTAACTGCACCGAAGTAGCAAGTAGATTGACGACGAAATCTATTTGATAAAACAGGAAACATACGAGATATATTTGTATTAACAGGAAGTAGGTTACATGCAGTTGCAGTCCTGACTTTGAACATATCTGCTATTGGAACTTCCAGCAAACGCCAATATAGTAAATTTCCTATACCATTGAAAATCTACCGAACTCCCAAATCAGTGATACCTGGCTGAGGTTGTTGATCTTTCAACATATTGAACACGGTCTGAAGGTCTAATTTCATACGATCCTGCCGAACGCAAAAATCATTACTGCCCCACTTTCTATTAAAATGGCCGAAACTGCAGAAAATTTTAACTGTGTTATATTGACGAAGCGTCCTTTTAACGCTTCGAAACAACATCTGCTTTTATCTTTCAGTCACAAAAAAATAGGCACTCGCACAACATATTTACATCGTGAATATCTCGCTTGCTTTCCGTTCACAGCTATTCCACTCTTCGTCTCGTGGTCACGTTTGCCCATTATGTATCATTGTTGTAGTGTCTTCTTTTTTTTCTTCAAGCTACTCTATTTAGTGCAAAGGTAGAGGCGGAGCTCTTGGTATTGTCTCGGAGATTTTAGAGTGTCAAACCTCGAAGACCGGCTCCACTCAACTGCCCACCCGGGTAATAAAACTGACCAAAGTCCGCCCCCGTTAAGTAGCCGTTAGCAGCTGGTGCTGGAGAGAATACTTCGTTAAACGTGGCAGTTCCATTCTGCGGGGTAGGAGCTCCATGACACATAGCTGCTGCCGCGGCCGACATATGGTGATTATTAACTCCTGGCGCCTGAGTGGCCTGGCCAATACTGCCCTGGGTGGGCCATGCGTTCGGACGGTTCCAAGGCATGAGGTCGTCGATCGCGGCATGGCCGTGGGTTGTTCCAGCCGGAGTAACTGCATGTGAGTGGTATTCCTGTGAGGCAAGCTGACCCACCCCAACACCAACACCCACTGCATGAAGGCCTAATGCGCCCACTGCGGGGTAGGCACCTCCGGTCTGATGCTGAAGCCCAGCCGTGCTGCTCTCCGAGTGGCCACCTCCACTAGTAGCTGTCAATGAGGCCAAGTCACTGTCCTCGCGGCACGGATGCGATGTGAGTCCGCTATCCGACTCTGAAAAATTAATAAAGCAACAAATGCTGCTTAAATCGCTTTTGCTACATAGAACTGATCTAAGTGTAGTTTAACTGAAAAAAAGAACTAATATAATGAGATGTGTTTTTCTGTCTTTTCATACCATGGTTGTTGCGTGGATTCGTGTTGTCGGTGCTAGTCACGTTTGCGCTTGCCGCATTTGCTGCACTTGAGCATTGATCTTGCTGCTGTTGCGGCCCAGCCTGCTGCTGACTCGCTCCAGGTTGGGATTGAGGAGTGGGGTTTGATGTATGGTAGACGGTGCCAGGGCCAAGCGAGGATTGGGGGGACACCGCCTCGTTGAGCAGGCCACCGTAGGCCGATGAGGAGTAAACCGACGGTGAAGCAAGGGCAGGAAAGCCACCGACAGCTGGCAGATGCGTCCCATGATGACCGGCGTGCACAGGGTGACCACTATGAGCCGAATGTGTCTGAGGATGATGTTGGCCGTTATGTCCAATTTGTTTGCGCCAGCGAGCGCGTCGATTACTGAACCAAACCTATAAAGGGACACGATAATAGCAACTCGTGTTGTTAGTCGCTCGGGGTGAGCGTACGGAAAAGGGAAACGAGGGTTTCGAAAGACGAATTTGATATAGGAATCTAATAATCTGTTCATTTTCGGATTATATACAAACAGGAGTGCCGTCTTCATCAGCGTTTAGCTTGTCCTTTAGAAATGGACCCATTAAAAGGCTCAGTTTTATCAAACTAATACGAAACGTTTAGCCTCATTGGCAGGTAACGATCATATTGAGTGACGCTGACCAATTTTTCGTCCTATTTTTTCTCTCGATCTCATAACTTTGTCGACAACGTACGTTCAATCTCATTGCTTCGTGCGAACGCGCATAAGTGGGTGGGTGCTTATGGGCAGAACGGAAAAAAAGATTTTCGACCATTTGAATGCTGTGTCAAGGCCCGCCATGCTTATACTGGCCTGCTTACGAGTAACAAGATACAGAAAAGCAAAGCGTATAGAAACACCGAATCGAAAACGCGAAATAAATCTCAATACCCAGCCGATTGCTTCGTACGCGACAGTAAGGAAGTGTTCGCGAAGAAAAAGAGAATCCAACGGGTGCCTACTACTGAGAGATGCCTGTAGCCACGAAAGCTCTACCGACTCCGGTTCGCTAACGCGTACAACTACTACACTTCGTTCAGTCGACGCTGATCGTCGATGAAATGGCGTACACATGGCCTGGTAACGTCTAGTGAAATAAAGGCCAATCCGCGACTATAGTAGGGTGTTCCTTTACTCCATAAGCTGATCGGTAATCGAGTGAACATTACGAAAACACTCAGTCATATGCCCACTAAAGTGGGCATGTGACTGAGGGACCGTGTGTATACATACGCGATGTTGGACACGTCTTCTGAGTCTGCTAAGTCGCAGCGGTTGCCGCCGCCGCCGCCGCCGACGCCGTCAAACAAGCGACGGAGGGGCGGGCGGCAAAGATCTAAAGCGGCAAAGGGAGTCCGAGAGAGATGAGTTGTGCCGCGATCTCCTGCCGCCCGCGAACATCACTCGGTGGCAGGGTGAAATGGAATTAACTCAAGCAACAGTCGAATAGATGGACAAAAGGACGAACGAACAGCGCCACTGCTAGCGTTGCCGTTGTATACACAGTCGGCAGGAAACACACACTCCACACAAATCTTGCAGAATCCATCTTCCCCCTTTCTTTTTCTATCGCTTCTTTTTCAAACCGTGTGCTTCCACGAGGAGACCAAAACAGTATGATAAAAACAGGAAGATGGCCGCATCTTGTAGACGCGAACGATGTGAGAACGAAAAACCCACATTGCCGCCGCGTAAACCGCCGTGAGTGCGGCATGCGTGATCTTGTATAGCGGATTTGTAATAGTTAACCACTCGTACAACCTGTGAAGATGGTAGAAATGTGGAGCGGGAACGTGTCTGGCTAGCAGTTTCAAAGACATTTTCTTCTTGGCCCTTTGCTAACACGACATTTGACTAGGTGTAGAATTGGGACGCACGTAAAACTTGAGACGTTTACTCTAGTGCTAGTAGTGAAATATTACGACTGTATATCCGGCTCGGCTCATGCAAACGCTTTGCGAGTAAAAGTGAGATAGACCCATAGGGCGATTAGGACAGGGGATTGTTGGATAAAACAAATGATCTGAGAATTAGTCAGTAACAGATGAATGTCGAAGCGCAGAGCAGCTGTAAGGTCAGTCAGTTGACATGCCAAGCCATATGTTCTTCTGAACGTATAGCCTTCTATGAACTCGAATCTGTGTGGCCAGCTACGATGCACGATTTGTTCTATTGGCACGGATTTCTAGTACACGTAACCTGAAATGGAAAAGCTTGTCGGAAGGAGGGCGATTTTAAGACGTTTTAAACCTATCACATAAACATAGAGTACAATAAGGCCAAACTACTAGACTGACAGGTTTTAACAAAGACTTTACAACACAACATTGTTCTAATGGACACCTAACCGAAACAGATTGCGCGCATTCACAGGAAGATATCGTCGCCCACTGTAAACCGGCGACGTGAAAGAGTCCATTTACTTTTGTCAGGTATGAATCTATGTTGTGAAGTACGTCGTCCTTCGTGCACCCGGCACACGCTACTGACAGAGTTATTTAGCAGCGTCTGCAGTCACTTCGTGGAAAGGGCGTTTACTAAATAGCAACAAATCACATTTTGAGCATGACAAATAGTGAAGCACTGCGTGTCTGTATAAGCACTGATGCCATTGAGAATACCGGTAACTCATGTTTCATTAATCGAGCTCGGATTCAATACGGAATCTGACAGAAGGCCTTCTAGCAAAATGTAACCTATGCTCGGGCATACCCGCATGAATACGCCGTTCCAGTTATCGTCTTACCATCTATCGAAGCACAACTTGAGTAGCTAGCGATTACGCCCGTGCTTCGTATGCGGCAAGCATCGATACGATCATAACTTAACCGGATTTAACTACCGAGAAACCGACAAGTGCTTTCGAAGGACACAGTTCGATCGATGAACGGATCAGCAAACGAATTTAATGAGGGAATCCGCATCTACATTAACAGCAGCACCCATCCAACTGAAAACGTATGTTTATAAAGCTCAAACGAACAGTGGAAGAAAGGAGCAAAAGACAACAAAAATGAAGATGAGATGCCTTCGTGGAGCAATTCGTGTGCCACGATGGTCTGTAGAGTGTCAAAGAGTCGAAACGAAAGCTGTTCCACCGAGAACATGAAGCGGCTTTCCGATCAAGTACCTCTCCGATTTGAACGCTCGATCAGCCAAAGGATAAAGGAAACACGTGCTCTGTCGCTGCTAGGATACCTGACTGATTGTTGCTAGTTGGTCAGCTGCGATGAGGAGAAACCGTCGCTGATCACAACGAGAGGGATCCTTTGGACAGTTATCAGCCAAACGGATACCTAGAGAACAATCAATCAGAAGTCCCAATTGGCACCTTAAATACAGCTAGCGCCGCCAAGAGCTCAGAGAGCGTTCTGCTGCTTCAGCTTAGTTTAGTTAGTTCAGCTGGCGCGTGGTTGAAGATTTAGCCAAGGCCTAATGGCTCTGAACCTTCATGAAGACACGCGCCGTTGTTGCCTATCCATTTCGTAACGACGCGCAGTGGCATCAATAGTTGCCTGTGTAATACACTGACTGATGTGCAGCGCGTCAGCTAGTCGGTCGGTTCGATACGTACCTCTAGTTGATACGTTGTTCCATGTCGGTGCGGTCTCATGGCAATGACTAGAGGCAGGCGACAAAGGCCTATCGACTTCTTCGGCTTGTTATTGACCGCCCACCGACGTCGGCTTTCTGACGGGTTTCCGTCATCTTATGACGAGCCGCCAGCGTTAGGTAAACGCCTGACATTCAACAAGTGACTGCTGGTGGCTAACACCTAAACCCAACGAGGAGATAGCAGCAGCAGCAACAACAGTGAGTGAATATAGAGGAACATCATACGCCAGCGGCTTCACGGAGCGAAATCCTGAACAGCACGACTTCAGCACGCCCGCTCTGACGCTCGCGCGACTCTCGTAGACACCTCACAAAGGTGTGAAGCAGAAACATGCAGGGAGGTTGACCGCTACACGCACCGATAGATCAAGGGGTGGAAGGACGGTCAGACAACGAATAGCAGCATCAGTCCGACAAAGTACATGTCATAACTTGGTTGTGAAGTAGGCCTACAAGTATCTGAGGTAAAAAGGGTCGGTCCATCCGTCCGGGTGGGCTGCCGCAGACCCGCTCAGTTACCCGCCATTTCTGTCGACTAGTTTTCTTATTCTGTTTAGAATCAGAACTTCTGCTTCTGCATCTCAGCAAAAAACTCAGGTTTGGGCTGTTTGCATTGCTATCACAAAACATACCCGTCATTATGACCATCATGATCACTCACGCCGGCTGCTACCAAACGTTGTCTATACAAGCCTTCACTACATCACACTGTATGACAATCCCAACCGTGCGCCCCAGCCACTGAGCACTTCTTTTTTTTTTATCCCGGAGAGTTTTCAAGTAAATATACACCGCCAATACAATTAAGAGTTAAGAAGCTAACAACAAAGAGTTCTAGTCATACAACTGGCATCAACGATGTGTGACTTGTAACACATCGGATCCGCTCAGCAAAAAAATATGGCAATCAGACCAAAACAAAAACGGAAAAAAATATGTAAGCAAATTTAAGCTGAAACAAAGCAATCAAAAACAAAAGACGGTCATGAAATATGAAAGAAAAATGAAGGGTATCGTCGACTGTATGGACGATAAGCAAAAGTGGGCAAACATTAGCCGACCAAGCGATTACTCGTTGTCTGCTAGGCACGCAGTTTTATTTTTACCATTTGAGTACTTCAGGCAGCCACAGAATACCGTTATTTAAGACTATCTCCTATATATAGTCGAACGAATTATAGAATGATTTGAAAATCTTAATATGATACCCAAACAAAACTTATCATTCTCTAGTCATATGGTCCCATTAATGGCTATTCTATAAATATAGTACACTCCTTCGATAAGGTAAAGCTGGCTGTGACAATGCTAACCATATTTTCTGCTTCTTTATGTCTAGCCGAATAGGGCGTGCGTCCTTTACGAAACGGTAAATACAGAAGACCTCGTCGTATACCTCGTCGAGTCTTCCTAACTGAGGCGATGATTGCAGGCCATTAAATGTCACATCGCAACAATAACTGCAACACGAACAGCTACAGCAGCTGTGAAATATATAAACATGCCGCGTCGATCATTTGGCGAGTGTCGACTTCTCGCCCTTCAACGTCGACGCTTGTTTTTTTTATTTATTTACTTTCATTTGGCCTAACTTCTGTCGGCGCCTATCTGCGGAGTTTACTTCAAAACGGTCGACGGACCGACTAGTCTGGCGGCCTAGCGGTCGTCGATATCTGAACAATAACCACTCACGACGACTTCGGAACAAGTCGGATTGAAGGCAAAGAAAGAAAACAAGCAGCTAACCGCTAGCAATGTATTAAATTATACGTAGACGGTTTCGGGGCGGCGAGAACCGAGGACCCGGACAAAGGGTGTCGGACGCTGCCTATAGCATTAGCCAGCGTCGAAGTCAAAACGCGACGTATGGCTCCCTACGGCGGTGTATGAAGCTCTTTATCCGTACCGCTCGGCGCCGCCAGTCGATAATAGAGACGCTTTGTCAAAAACGAGCCGCTGTTTACCCCTGTATCAGACAACGACAACAATTTTTTACAAACAACGAACACTACAATGGTTATATTTTATGTAGATATGCTGCGGAAAACAATGAAAGGGAAATGAGGAAGTAGGCAAGGACCCATGAAAGCCAACGGCAGGTTACGGATCGCCGATAACTTGAACTTAAGCATCTACTGTCTGTACTAATTCTACGCTTTCTGCTTCTATTAGCACGGCCGCGACAAGTTGTATCGGCTGGTCGGTAGCGAAATGATGATAAATTTGGATTTTTGAACAACGACGCTTCGGCGATTGTCACTACCGTCGGCTGTGATTAACGTCGATGATGAAAATAACGAAGATAGCGTACGTTTTCAGACAACGCTCAACATTGAGTTGTTAAAAAAAAGACAGCAGGCCAATTTGCGGTAGCTGTCCTATTTGCCAAGCAAAAAAATCAAAGATGATGAAAGAAAAACGTAAGAAAATTGCCTTGAATTCTGGTACTGAATGGTAATGAATATGTGGCACGGGTGAAGTACGATAGGCTTATAGCTGCTTCCATCACTGCTCAGCCTGGAACCTCTTTGCCAACAAAAGGACGATTGCAATAAGGCGTTAGATGAAAACTAACGGTAACTTATTCTCCTGCTAATCGTAGGCACACGTTGGGCTCTAGGTTCAGACCCGGACAGAGACAGATGGTTCATTTCGTGTTGGAAGCCAGCCAGTCGCCTATCTGTCTGAACGAGAGCACGTGGCGGGATTGTCGATTGTCCATTCAGGTTGAAAAGTCCTATTTTATTATAACTTCGCAAAAAAAATGCAAGATGAATTAGAACTGTTAACTTACCTACTTATTATGGTATGAACAATACAAAAAAAACGTTCTAACAATAACAGTCAGCCGTAACCGTATGATATGAATAAGATATTGAGAGAATGTCTTTCTTCATTATATTGGTCGTTATATAAGTTCTGGTAGTCATTGGGTCATGGCAGCTACGTGGACGACAATCGATTGGTTTGGACATCGACATCGTCAAGGTTAGACGGCTGATAGATAAATGGTACCGGTCGCCATGCCTGGCTGTAAAGCTGTCTACATTAAAGTGCAAACAAATTGTTCGATCGGCAGATCAAGTGGCTCAAAGCCTTCTATCCACCTATGCTCGCTTGACTCGGAGATATTGTGGGTATTCTGGGAGTATAGTACGGCACCAGATGTGGCCAATGACATCAAATAAAATAGAGCGCCGCTGTGAGGTTCCGTTGTAGCACCCAAACAACATCTCAGACTGAAGTACTTCGAGGGGCATAGTGTCTCAGCGGCCGACAAGGTCAAAGTGGCTCACCGTTTCGAAGCGTTCTTCCGTGTCATAGTAAAAATAGCACCAGACCGGTGACAGCTAAATGCCCCGTCTTCGACGAAGCAAACGCCGCCTTGGTTAACTTCGGACACGACAGATATGTACAAAAAGAGATGCCTACTCTCACAACTATATGCGATCAGTGCTATAGGGCATGCAAAATCGGTACCTAGCAGAGCGTTGCCATCCTAATAAAACAATACGTACGTACACGAGGACAATAGAAGTACCACTGGACTAGCGTATACAATTGTAGAATTTTGGAACATAGTACAGCTAAACGTACAATAGCGTTACAACGTTAACACAAGCCGAATGATTGATACTTAAGAAGCACAAAATCGGGCAAGCCTATCTGCACCTTTTTTGTTGCCTGAATGATGCACTAAGATAGATAAAGCGTTCATAATTATTATAGGAGATTGAGGGTTTACAATAAATGGTAACGTTAGATACATTCTCAGCATCTATCTTTATGTAACACCGAACATGAAATTAGTGGAACGCTAAGGACTTAGCCCTTTAGATTAAGTGCATTCTAAGTGTGTCGGTATAAAAAGAAACTTGTTTCTGAGCCTGCCGGTATTCCGGTGATACAAATCCGAATAATCCATAATAAGATCATCTACCTCTGATGAAAACCAATTGAACCTACTAGTCCTTTAGCCAAAATGAAACATCATTAAAAATCAAGTCCAATTACAAACGAATTTCACTGATCAAGTACGATTCTGTTGTTTTTATTTGTATCAGAATATGAAAACAACGGTACACTTTCATTCTTAACAACTAGAACAGGCGCCAGCAGAAAGCTACCACCTACCTTGTGTCGTCTGCATAGGCATTACTATGCGTAACACGTGTCCTGTAGAAGGCACGCTATAAGCCTGGTTATCTTTGGTTTTGAGAAACAACAATTTTTCATAGCATAGACCAATTACCTACCTCATCTGCCCCTCGACGGCCACACAAGCTAGTATCTTGTACTGCGCCAAAACGCCTGTACCCCCTGCCGGCAGGCCTGCTTTACAGTTCCTTCTAAATTCTGCTGCACGTATCGAGCGTACTAGTTCACTGCCTGACGGCCCAACGGCTCGGTCTGACGACCAACCCTTGTAAAGATAATCTATCATTTTGTCACTTAATTTCGAATAATTAGTGTCAGCGGCACTTATTTACCAATTAGACCGACCAGATCACATTAAAACTCTGCTCAGAAACGAGTGAAACAAGTTACACGAACGACCCTCGAAGAAAGAATGCGGTGGTTTGCACGTAAAGCTTACATCGTCTTTAACGCCACCGCGTCAGAAATACGACAGCGTTACACGTAGATATACGGGCTAATGGTTCACAGCTTAAAACCTTAACTCGGACTAGAGATAAACGTGAATTGTACGGATCCAGCAGTAATAAAATTCGCCCTTTGAGAAAAACACTGGATAATTTAGCGAAAGTTGTTCTGCACAACACAACTGTTGTATGGTGTACCGTAGTTGAATGTCTGTATCTGTGTGAAACGGCGATGAGTGTTCGAAATTTTAGCGATAGGAAGGCCGAAGGACATTTTTGTAACCTACAAATAGAAGGGGAAAGTTTTTGACACTCGGACAGGGATAGGGTACCGAGAAACTGAAAGATTACGATAGGTACAGATTTAAGATCTAGTGAAGCCGACAATACGGGCGGTTAGACATGACAGGCTAGTTAAGCGGGGGAACTTCGAGTGGCCACAATCAATTAGGACAACACGGCAATTTTCATTCAGTTAACTAATGTATTTAGTTAACGAACTGTGAATCGTCTATGGACGAACTGGTAGATCGAGGACCTCTAGTACGCGGCCCTTTTTCTTCTTTTTCAAGGTAATCCACGCAACCACGCTTACGACACTCCCTCTGCGAAACAGATCTTGATAACATAAAACCATTGTACATATTCATCTATGCCTAAAACTATCGAAGTATAGCACCTTAGTGAGTTTTTGGATATATATATCACATAGGAATTTTTTTTAGTTACAGAAGATACTTATGCTAATTTCGTCAGAAGAGTCGGGATCTGTAGGGAAGCAACGGTACCTGAACCGTTCGCACTTTCTTTAAGTGAAATCATGCCGTTCGTCAGAAACAGAAGAAGGATTGCCTATATTAAGATAAGCGTCATGCAACGCCAGCGTTGAACAAGGGGATCGATCATAATTGTTGCTCATGTGTATAGTTCTCTGTGTTGTGTCTATTGCTAGCTGAGGTAAGCACATATCTGAGAGTTGATCTTTCGCGTAAAATATTATTTATATTAAATAGTCACACTGTCGCTTCAACAATTTACCGTTGAAATACACTTTAAAGAATAACATTTAATTTTAGCCAGATGCGGTATCACGAATGGACCTTGACTTGATACGCCAGTTAGCATTTGTGTGACACTTTAAGGATTTCCAGGTTCAGCTGTTATCTATACTTGTCCTCTAATTGGAACAAGTAACCTAGTAAGTGGCAGTTCTCTTAATGTTTCAAATTTAAACTCGAAATGATTCGGTCTCACAGGATTTAGCCAGGATACCCACTTGCACACGAGCCTCGGTGAGACGAGTCCGCTGGGCTACTTCCTCACGGGTATAGATGTCCGGGTATTGAGTTCGCTCGAACGTACGCTCTAGCTCATCCAGCTGTTGTGCCGTAAATGTCGTCCGCGATCTCCGTTGTTTTCTTTTGAGCGTGATCCCGACCTCGCCATCCTCCTGCTCCGACGAAGCACCAGAGTTGTTATCATCGAGATCGAGGCTTGCTGTAAATCCAATCGTTCACGCACAGCTTAGAGTTATCTACAGTTACACGAAGCAGTATCACAGAGTCAACTAATAAACGGAACAACGATCGGAAAATTATCGGGTGCTGTGCAGAAGATGGCTCGGCAAGCTTGCCGCCATTCGGAAGAAGTAGCAGTTTGCTCGCGCCCGTATTTTGAATCGATAATAATATATTTATCGTGTACATATTCATTGAATTATTACTATTAACGTAATTTCAAATTATCCTCAAACTGACAAAGGAGTCCTTTGCCAAAAGACATGCTTGCACACTATATGCACACGTAGACATTACGCGAGCAAGCTACTATCATGCCGTCTCAGCAAGTTCACTCCGTGCTTATCGCGTGCTGCTACCCGATATTGAACCCTGGTTATTTTCGCAATTAAAAAGAGCCAAATGACCATACAAGTCGTCGTCGTCGTCGTAGTAACAATCAGGATATCTAGGCAAAGTTGCCGTAATTATGTCATTATTGGCGCTTGATATTACCTTCGTGTGTTGTATGTCTTTGGCCTCACGTTAGCGTTTTTCTCAGCTTTTCTGACGTAAATTTCTCCCCATTCAATTAAGTCGGGAGACGAATTTTTAGGGTGCGGCGTCAGACACCTTTGACCCCTTCCCGGCCCTTACCTCTAAAAGGGCCGCCCCTCTGATGCTAAAAAAAAATGATTGCCCGCCAACTATCTATGGAATGGCTGACTTTTACATTCCTCATGGAGAAGTTACGCGGTACAGCGGTTTACCTCATCGGCTGCCGTTACCGCTACTTCTGCCAATACCTGCACAATAACATTAATGCTCGCACGATCAGCCTCCTTTCCTCCGGCTTGGCTTAAACAACAGACATTAGGCAATGGTCGCGACTCTTGCAGATGAAAATCGTCATTTGCTGGATTATTCATTGTGCACGACGAGCGACGGACTCGGTAAGCCTTACGATGAACCGGCCTATTCCGAAGAACACCATGGGACCACGGAATGTTGATGTGCGCGCAAAAAATGCCGCGTATGAAAAGGTCAACGAAATACAGAGACACATATGTATCAAAACAGGCAAGTGGAGTAGCAGCGGCTTAAGAAGTAGACAATAAGAACTTAACGAAGACGACAAACGGCCAAATGGACTTCGTTCGTTGCATGGATAGCTGTCGGCTGTACTAATTCGAAAATCGGCAAGGTCTCGCAAGTCGGACAGGCCAGATCAGGACAATCAAGGTCGTCTGATCAAAACAGCCGACAACAGATACGCGTGGTTGTCGCACGCATCGTTTTTCGGGGCCAGCAACGGAAAAAGGGAAATATCTGCATGTAAACTACAATCAGCAGCAGCTACGGCAATATTAGCGATTTCTAACACTTAGCAGCATAGCGCGAGGCAAAGGAGGCGCTTAAGCAGAGGACAGAAAACATTATTAAAGGCTCGTCCGCTTACTTCCGGTAGGATTTAGACTAAGCTTTCATATTCATTCCCCGTTTATCTCGCTATTAAGCGTCTTCTTGAATTCTTTGTATCAAAAGGCCGTCACCTACTTTGGCCGTAATAATACCACTACAACGACTGCTATCACAAGTACCTCGTGTACTCGACGTGGTTCTATGGCATCCGCGTTCTTTCTCGGACGAGCATCTGAGCATCGTCTCCCCCGCCAGCGTTTCGCACGTCATTCTTGCTGGCGTCAACGGCATTACGTACATATAGTACTACTAGTAGTATAAGCGATTCGAGTAGCAGCAGCAGAAGTAGCGAGTGGTCTAGCATACACCGAACGAATGGGCACAACAACGGCGGGCGTGTGAATTTAAATCGATGGGGCGTTTTGTCGGACGGCTCTCGTCGGCGATCCGGACGGATCAGACACAAAGTCAACGCCCATCAATAGCTTTGACTTAGTGCTGCCGCCGACTGCCTTTCCGACAGGTTTCGACGGATGGAGAGAGGTCAGTACTCGTCTGTTTTAGCTGTTTGGTATTTAAGTGCTATTCATTCTGTCGTTGTTAATACTGCTGCTACGACGTGAACGCTTGATCCTCATTTTTGTTGCTCAATTACAAACAGTAACGGATCAGGAGGGAACGTTCTTGTACTTTGTCGTTGTTTTTATCGGTGCGGGTGCTCTTCTCGATTATTTCTGCATATCGCGTCTACGTGAATCACAGATTAACGTCGACGGACGGCTTGTATACAATATTTCTCGCGTTGTGCACAAATTGGTTGACAGGCTAAGATCAAGATGGCGAGCGATGCAGCCTGTTGCCGTATATATCGCGCTGAACAAGAATGTAAAACGTACACATACGTGAGTATTGACAGTCTATGAAACGCAGCAATTGTTTACCTAGGCGTGAGGAACCAAGGGCTGGAGGGGCGAGTGACTGAAGAGAACTGTGTATGAATTTATGTTGTATAATACGCTTCATGATAAATACACTGCGGTCTGAGGTCGCTGACAACAACTTCGATCCTCGACACCAGCGAAGACTCCGACTCCTTAAGGGATCGAAAGCTAGATATTGGGTCGACACAGCACTGTGTTATGAGTGGTCCAGAACTCTATTTTCTCCTTTTTATTCTCCCATACTTATCGATACCATAGTCTTACGGGGGTACAGTACAATTTACAACTGAAATAGTAGCATTTTACAAATGCATAAATGATATGGTCAAGAATTTTCTTATTGATGATGATTGATTTTGATTATTGTGTTTTATACGCTGTACAATTTGTCGCTTAACTTTTTTGACTTTGTTGCAAAAATACATAATGGCTCAGGTTTGCCATATGGTGTGTATTAAGTTCCGCTTATTTAGCGAAGAAGAAATTGAATTTAACTTATATTCTAGGTAAAACTGCAAGGTCCTTTTACTTTTCTACATGGATCAACATAAAGTGTAATTTTACGAATATAGATAACCTACTCAGTTGGTAACTTTAGATATATATATATATATATATATATATATATATAGAGAGAGAGAGAGAGAGAGAGAGAGAGAGGGCCTATCATTCGGGATTTCTTTTCATTCCGAAAACGTTCAAAAGTTCCTCTTACCTAACTTGAAAATAAATGCCAATCCTATTTTATTGTTACATAGATCAACGTAGCTAGTATAGAGCCACGGGTGCGGTTACCTGTTTGGAAATAGTGACTTATCTCTGACGCTCCGCACGTAACTACTAATGTTTTATTAATCAACACTAGGGCAATCAATCAGGCTAAAGGACAATAACAGTCTTCGTTGCTACTCGATTTAGGATCGCACAGTATACGGATACCAACAACAGGGTCACAAGCATGACCACGTTGTTAAGTGAACAAAAGATAGAACTAGTTGGTCTGTCTTTCCCCGTTGACAATGACTGCATTGGCCTGTAGTTACGTTTTAGGTAGAGTTCCACCTCGATCCGGTGTGTATGCAGTTCGCTCCCAAACAAATTCAATTTTTTGTTACTCTTCTACCGTCTTCGTTGGTAGCCGCTTTTCGCTATTGTGTGTGTTACCGTAATGACTCAATCTCGTCGTTTTCCTTTCATTTTATTGTTATTGTTATAGCAGCTATCTGTTCTTTGTTAGCACTGGCTGGCTGCTGCTGCTGCTGCTGCTCCCTTTTATGCCATCGTCATATTTCGGCTCACTGCTGAGGGTCCCCGATGTTCGTCTTAGCTAAAAAAGATGGGGGTAGGGGCCGATTAGAAACCAATTATCATAATTCAATAACACAGATGATGGTGACTGAGATGATAAAGTGCAACAAAAGAGCGAGCGTTTGAAGGCAAGACCGAGAAATGCTCACGAAGACTCGCCATTCTATATCGTTGTATCAAATTGCTCTCATTCTATGACTGTTCGTTGAATTTTCGTCAGCAGCCGCAACGAAGTCGAAGGTGTCGTTTGCTCGCAGTAATGGCGTCTGGCAGCCAGCGACGGTGTCGCCGTCGTCGTCGCCGCGGCGGGAAGGTTTAAGCTGGCGCTGTTCCTCGTCGAGGGGCCGCGTACGCGTCGTTCGCTTACGATACATAACGCTGCTGTAGGATGAGCAGCGTCACTTTCTATCTTCGAATGACGTGTTGGTACTTGGCTATATCATCTTTGTTACTGCTGGTCGGTCGGGATAAGCGCCGGCAACACCGATCGGGTCGGCTGCACTCCCGGGGTGGTCCCTAGGGGCCGACGCAACCAGGACGGTTCGCTGGTCTGTCGACGATTTGTATTTGAGCACGCGTGTGTCTGCCAATCCAGTAATATACGTGCCGGACTTGAACGCTCACTTCCACTACAAATTATTCCTTTTAGCAGCTGCGGCGGCGGCGGCAGCAGCTCTTGTCGCCATGGTTATTCCTTTTGCTATCTGCCGCTGATGGCTCACTTTGATAGTTACGGCTACATCCTCAGTGGTCATCACCACCGCTTCCGAATGTACAAAATACTTTTTTCATCTATTGACGCCTGCGCCGATTTGTCGTGTGGCAATCGACAGGGTCGTTGTTGTTTTGTGAAGACCACGACCTGAGTCAACTGAGCGCATTGAGATAACGGTTGTGCTGCGTTGACGGAAACAGTTAATTAAATTACAATTGCAGACACATTTATTCACGATTATGTGTGTGTTTATCTCTGTTGACTACCGCAAACAACAGTGAATTAAAAGCAAGCGTTCAGGTCCAGAGGATGAAATGGTCGGATACTAGTCGCTACACAGCTGTCGATTAGAACTCGATCAGTAAAACATATCATTTTCAAACATACGAAAACAGAAGGAAAAGAGATGTACCAATGAAAAATCTATGGCAGATAAAAGATTTCAATATATACATATAACATAGATAATTAGGGGTCTAGAAAAGTATTAACACAGAATTTTATGCAGAGGCCCACTATGTTGGAAGTACAGTCAACAAACCAAATGAACAAACAAAGTAAAATTACGGGCTCCTTTATATTATCTCGTGTATCATTTCCTTTATTGCACAGGGAGGACAGAGTCACTAATAATGATTTCAGTATACCAACCCTATCGTTAGGAGACCGCCATGGACGTATATAACGGGCGTTTGGGCACCCCCAGCACCATCACTATTATCAATTGGACTATACAACCGCAAAACCATATATATCATTCCTCATATTTTCATCGTGTCTCTCCCACGTTTTACTGGTTAGTCCATATTTCGATAGGGGCAGTTCTCTATTACCATAAGCCATAGCCAAAACACTCTAAGCCAGCACGAAATATGGGTAAAAGCTCTTCACTGGCGATGTTTAATAGGGGCGTATTACTAGTTTGATGACCACGTGTGCAGGACAAATCGTTGATTAGCGTTTCCCTCTCTCGCTCTCGCGTCGTTTATTCTTTCTGTCTCCCTTCTTCTAAGAGCATCAATGATAGTAATGGAACGCTAAACGAGTTCATCACGATCTCACGCTGGCAAAAGACAGGACCGCAGACAACACTTTCGCCCGCTCGATTCTCTCATGAGCACTCACAGCTTTCGATCGGTTGATCGATAACAATTGTTCAATCAGTAAACGCACCCCCCATAACTACAATTTGCCAACAAACAACTCTGCCACAAAATCAACGACGACATCAAAGGAAATGAGTACGAATACAGACGGATTGAATCGGAATACGGTAGGCTCGAACGCTCGACGATGAGAAGTCGAAACAGGACGTTAGGTAGGCGGATCCCGCCGAGACTGTTGGTGACAAAGCAAAGCAAAGGCAATGGCCGTCAACGTCAACGTCAACGCTCGGTTACCGAATGGCTCTCCCTAACCCACAAGTAGTATCATTATTACTCGGAACGAACGTGACCAACGCCAGAATGGGTTTGTCAGAGGAGTGGGTGTCTAAAAGAACGGCAACGGAAAACGAATGAGACAAACTGCATGTACAGACCATCTCGACTCTTCAACTTTGACAAATAACCGGTTTGGTTCAAACGGATGAGCATGGTCTTGATACGCCCCCTGCGTAGCAACCATTCCAGCTATTATTGTTATTGTGATTTGAATGTCATATGCTTGTAAAGAAAGCATCGTACAACCTGAAAAAAGAGACCTAAGGAAAAATTTTCAGGAAGGCTAGGTTAATCTATCGGAGCAAAGGTTCCTACAATCGGAAAGAAATGAACGAGGCGCATGGCCTGGTTACGGTTCAGGAAAAAGCTGTCTTTGATTAAAACACAGAATCCTTTAAAAGTTATTCTCCAAATTGATGAAAATGTGTTACGTACTTATACAAATGGACTGCTAAAGTGTTATACAGCCATAGAAGTTCCGCATTAACTATAGCGATTACATGAGAGGATCCGTGTTAATTAAAGCATCGGATCTAGATTTAATCGAACTTAACGTCAAAATTATCGGATTAATTGTAAGTCATTGAAAAGTATGATGATTGTTCCACTCCAACATATTGAAAAATAACTTCTTTCTTTGGTGCTTGGCGTAATTCCTCCGTTGATTGTCGTATTTCTTACAATCACTTTTTAATGTTATTTTTATGAAAGTGAGAATGAGAGTAATGGCTGTTATTACTATTGAAAATAAATTTAATATCCTTGTCATCATTGCTTCAACCTAAAGCTGGTCTTAAGAACATGATTATTGCGTATAAGTAAGCACACATATAGACACACACATAAACATACACACGCGTATCACATATTCTCTTTAATTTGACCTCCTTCCAGGCCCGCTTCATAAAGCTGCACGCGACGGTGGCATAAGATCGCACGCTATTGCCACGAGAGTTGAAACTTCGAGTCGTTGCCCTACTCCTCTGATGATACGGTGAGCCGTTTAGAATTCAGTTACTAATTATTAAATTTAAGAAAATCAGAATTAAACCTTGTTTCGGTAAATTTTTGGCGAGGGGGTGTAAAACTGTGTGGTCACTCCTTTTATTTCGATTTCACTTGGGCTTAATCAGCCCCACTTGGCTGTAATGTTGTTATCAACGATTGTCAACAACGGACATATATCATTTCGCTCGGTGACCTTTCGATGAACGAAAATTCTCTCGTGGTACAATCACATTTGGTCGATCCGCGTTGCATTAGCATAGGCATCAAAGACATAGGTAGATAGATATACGGCCATACGGAGGAGGGAAAAATCAGTGTTCTACAATGCTAAATGCGGCGTTGGACGACGCACGAAAAAATTAAATACTTCTTATTACTGACAGTTACTTGTACTGGCTTTAAAGTTCCTGGTCATGCACTGACGCCGCTTCGTAGGTTCATAGTGTCCGATTCAAGCTGCTCATCGAACGTCCAAGTTCGTTACGGCTTAATCGTATCATACATGAATATGTGACAAAAATCGATTGCAAACGCGTACCTCTATGCGATGTAGGTAACAACCTCTAGTGGCGTAACTGCACACTGTTTCTGAGTATGACAAAGTTGTCCTGAATGAGAGCTATTAGAAGATGCGATATCATCATCAGGCACCATCGTTGCTAGTGGTACCTACATCAATAACTATGATAAATCGGATATCGCTTAACAGTGCTCACGTCATGCGCATCCACGCGCGTCACCAATACGAGTCGCTCAGGCCTGAGAAGGTTCAGGCGACCAAGTCTGACCACCAGCTAAGAGTCGAAGAGGGTAAAGGATAGAGAGATTCATCTCTGTCCTATACTGAGGATCCGAAAATGGAGACAAACTACGGGTAAGGTCGTTCGATAGGCATCGGCAAATGCTTTAAGGACACTAAACGAACGATGCTGTTGCGAATGTAGTGGTTTCAACACTGAGCTGCCCACCATAAAAAGGTACTGGCTTTTTTGTCTACATGTATTGCTGAAGGTGCGTGTTGGCTTCTGACAATATTGATGTTTATGTTGATGTCTTTCCGAAAGTCGTTCATCGCTCCGATACACCATCGTAACGTTCAGTAGGAAAAAGAAAAAGACCAAGCAAGCAAATTAATAGAAAAGGAACGACATTGAAGACATCGACAGTGGAAAGGGGTCATAGTCTAAACGTACGTCAATGGTGAACTTCAGACCAACGGTAGTGGCAAGGGATTGCATCGACCGGATGCGACGACCATTTGAGGCAGCGCATCAACATAAGACCCACCAGCCGAATTAATACGAAGGACAATACAAACACAGGCTTATATCAGAAAAAGGCCAATGTCATGAAGGTAATGTGAGTTTTTACAGTACAGTTAGTAAGAATACAGAAAGAACCCGCCTGCGACCAGAAGCTAGCTGTTCATGGCATAAGTGTGAGCACTGATGCTTCACAAAACACAGTTTCATGCAATAATGCATGTGTCTAAGACAAACTATGTGACAACAGTCAACGACAATGTAACCTCGCGCGTTAAAAAAAATCAAGGATAATGAAAACCTTCACGGTCGTAAGCGCGCTCTATACTCCACGCGGCAACGAAATTATGTACAATACGAAGACAACTAATGTGAAGTGATTAAATAAACTCGAAACGTAAGGTATGTCTATAGCTGACTTGTATTCCGGTTAATCGTCACGAAAAAGAAATTGAATTCAACATCATTTGTCATAAAAACAGCCCGCTCAGTTTGTGGCCACGTATCAAGTTCAGCAAATAGGCCCTCGAATCGCCCCTTTGTACAGCTTTCGCCACCGGCATACGCAAACGCCAGTCAGAAGCGAAGGACACCTCAGCATACAGGCCAGACCCAGTCGCCGCTGGGAATTCAAAAGGGCCACCAATTCATTAATCAGTGGCGGTATTGTCGAAAAGAACAGTAAGCAGCCTTACTGTTTCGTCTCTCCGATGAGATTTTCACGTTTTACTTTCAGTATATCAGGCGTTCGCTGTTTCTTTGTCTGCAGCAGTTATAATGCTTTAGAAAATCTTTGCCGCATGGCAGAGTAGCAGCTAAGACGAACCATGCTCGGACATTGGCAACGTTTTCGATCAGATAGAATAACCTGTAAATAACGTTGATTTGTCGATCAGACGATACGTAGATCTGGCTGTATGCCACTTCGTCGTCTCTGACATCGAAACGTCATCAGCAATTTCATTAGGGCCTAACAATGAACTGTTCTCAGTTGTCGAACGACGGCAACCGTTCTGTCTACAGATGATCGACGGTGGACGCTGCTGGCGTTGCTGATACCGCAGCGAACCCCTCAGACATTCGTAGGTATCTCTGACCGGACGCCGGTTAGGGCCTGTGCCAATCTCTGCTAATGTCACTTACGAAGTGTGACAGCAGCCGCTGCGGCCGACAGTGGTGAGCGTCGTGGCAGCGCTGTCGCCTGCAACGCGGTCCTGCTGAGTGCCTCTCGCCTTTTGACCACATCGGGCGCAGCGACCACCCAGAGGGCGTTGGGCCTTTTATCTTCGGCCGACGCAACACCGAACAAGTCCGTTCGGGGTCGTCAATACAAAACAGCAATGAACTCGGTAACAACCACAGCAACGGCACGGTGTTGCTGATCGCCAGTTAGACAGATACAACGACAGTAAACAATAGTCATCGGTGCTTGGAGATTAACACTCGATCGCTATTGAACAACTGCACAACGGATTATCGCTTCGTGCCTAATAATGACAATGACGATGATGATGACGATGAAGGCCGCGACGTGCAGGGTAGGACTGCTCAACCGTGACCTATATAATTATGCCAGTTATCGCTGTAGGCTATTTGATGACAATGATAGATTTGTACATTTGCGGAACGAGGGCGCACGTCGAAATTGATTAATATAATGCAATAGTACTCAACAGAGCACGTATGAACGTGCAAAACTTAGACAAAAATGGACATGGGCTTTAGGGCGGCACAGTACAAGGAGGAACAGCTGTATATTAAATATAACATATTTACTTTTAGTTAATATTGCCAGCTCACTGTATCACAAAGCTCTGAGCGAGGCTACAGACTTTAAACGGATAACTAAATAGGTAAATATTTGCTATAGGGCCCGCCTTAAATTGGGATAGCATATGATGCATTCTCCATTGTACACGCCCGAATAAACGGATCAAACCCAAACAACTCTCCAAGCACGAGGCAACATTTAAATCCCATCGTAATTCAGCGTTCGGATCTTTAGGATTCGCCGAATCCGTGAGATCGTCGATTTCATCCAGCTATTCCATCTGGGGCAATGATGATGAGTAGCGATCGCAGCAACGTGCTCTTAACTTGCTCTTCCCGTTTTCTGCACACAGAATCATGCTGTAGTGTTTTGCGTTGTAGGTGTGCACGTCTCCAATATTTACCCCCCTTCTCCGTTCCTTTCCGAGGCGAGGCGAGTTGTCCGTTTTGCTCACTCGCTTTGCCGCAAATAGTCATCGGCCCATTGTTCCACCGCTTGATAGCACAGCTACATAAGATACTACTGCTTACAACTCCGGACACGGCTGGGCCTGAATAGTCAATCATGTGTGCCGGACGTAGGATCGTATTATCGAAGGCGTCGAGGGGCGCGCCTCGACGCGACTACGACGACAGGAACAATAGCAGGCCATCAGCAAAGCTGACACCATCGAGCAAAAATATCTAACAGCGACAATCACGACAACGGTTCGGGTATACAGGTACAACACGCGTTCTGGACTGGCGGTACATTACGGAGACGACCGGGTGGTCCTGCGATGGTTCGTAACCGACGCAGGCCACTCCATGATAAAAAGGACATCTGATTCTTTTCCGTTCATCTTCCTCCTACTGTTGCAGAGAGCACAATCATCTTTGACATCGTAATCGAAGAGAACAAAAAGAAGCTGACGAAGCAAACGACGTGTCGATACTTGCTTGGCCACCACGTCACTGGCGTAACGTGGGCCAATAGTCTTTCTCTTTCGCGGCTGTTGTAGGATGATACCGATGATCACACGAGACTTGGAGATCCGGGAATTCCAATGGCCAGGCCAGTCCTACAGTCAGGGAAAGGGCCAACTTGACTGATTATATCAGCTGCAGCTATGTCTAGTGCGTTTTATAGTTGACGCTGGAGACATCGCTGCAGCGTCCACAATTGAGTTGAAACGAGATCGCTCTAGGACACAGCACCCCCGTTTAAGGGGGTGGTTTTGTCATAGCAACGTGTGGCGCCACAAGATAAATATGAAACAGAATGTTAACTTGCTTATATTCGGGATATGCTATATATACGGGATGATATTGAACTATGCCACTGCTGGAACAGAAACGAAATGTGAGTGCTGTCCAGTAACCAATTAATTTTGGCTGGTGCGGACGTATCATCATAGTTTTAATTGTCAACCCCCACGCAAACACCTTGTTGTGTTAGGTGCCTTTTGCTAGAAACGGACCTAGAGACATTATTTTGGCATTCACGTAAGCACCACACTAAACATATTAAGAGGAAGCTTTCAGATGAGAACTGTTTTAATACGCACCTCTTGACATCCGGATACACTTTCCTGAGTGAAGCTACCACTAAACTTAGAAGACACTCACCCCTTGCTATTGCTGAAGGTCTCGTAGGACAAAAAGCAACTACCTACTAGCCGCGATCCTACACGGGGCCTCTGTAAGGCTCAGAACGCAATATTCAAATTTTGCTAAGACCAAAATGTCCTTACATTATAAGGAACTTGGCTTATCGAAAAATATAACGTTGTCTCATGTGGGCACAGAACCAAAGACTTTAGAGTTGTGTACTTAACGTACGCATTGCGTCCAAATAGTGCACACGCCTTACACACATATTTTCGTTCTTAAAAATTACGATCAGAATATGCAATTCCATTCATTGTATAACTGCAAGGCCAGACGAGTTTGGCCAAACCTACTTTGGTGCCATCTCAAAGTTTTCGAACCACATAGACCCCAGCAAACTCTATGACAGCTGTCGGATAGACCGCGGCATACACTGCGTGCACTGCCATTGCAACCCACTGTACACTCCCTTCTCGTTTTTCCCTTATGCCACAAGTGAATCACCTGCAATATCGGCCATTACATTGTTATTTCTAGGTGCTGCTGCTGCTGCTGGTGCAGTAACCGCACCAGAATCAGCTGTTCCTGTCGCCGACGTTGTTCCGTGGCCATTTTACCAAACTGCGGGGCCAGCGAGAGCCCCGCTGGCCGCTCTACTCGACGCTGACGACACCGGCGATAATAGCAACCCGCGCGCTCTCTTCCCTCCTCCTCCCGCTGGTCGTTGTCTTAACTGGTGGTCTCAGTGGCAGCAGCGTTGGCGACAGCAACGGTCGGCGTTAGTGGCGGCCGCCGTGGACGAACGACTTATGGCTGGTAATCGTGCTTTCTCCCCGAAGCGACAAGCACCGCCCCTTTTTTGCCAATGGAAAAGGCGGGACGTCATCAAGCGACTGAACAACGATAGATGGATGTGTATTTATACAGATATGTACAACTCGCTTGGCTGGTAAGCTTGAGAAAGCGCCTCTTCGGATCATTGAGCATAGGCCGTAGTGGTTAGCGGTGGCGACTACGTGGTACCAACTCACAACGGACGCTGCTGCTGCTGCTAGCTATACAAAGCGTTTCAACTTACCCCGTCATTATAAAATATCATAAGCATTGCTGCAGGCAGTAGATTTGTGGTGCCCGAAGCGAAATTTCAGTACAAATTCAGGCCCGAAGTATCAGAATCGTGAAAGCATGTGCTGACCTAGAATGTTCATAATGATTTTTGAAATGAATAAGATGTTTTAAAATTTTGAGTTGGTGGACTTAGTGGTGGTTTACGCAGCCGGAATATGCATAAATGATATATATATAGGCTGAAAAAATCCTTTAAATAGACCTTACCGAAGGCGGCCTTGTATAACCCTTCTAATACTCTAAGGCAAAGAGAACTCCTTTATTGCAAAAAAAAAAAGCGAACGATATAATATAAGAAAATGCTAAAAAAGATGGCAATTAAATTACATAGCCTTGTCATCCAAAAGTCAGCGAGCTTTACGCACTATGATAATCTAAGAGGCGTATATGATAGGCATCGAGTCCTACGTCGAATCCTACCGTCGACCTTACCGTTATACACGGAACTCACACGGCATCGTTAAATACTATCAAAAATGATGTCCTATTTAACGAGAATATTTAAGTCATTACAATGATGCAGGTAATACCTTAGAACCAAATTGAGGTCGTAGAGTTTCGAACAGCTAACCAGCTCAAAAAGTATTGGACGTTGCAGACCTGTACCATGCCAACTAAGCGTTCAGGGACAAGCGTCGACGAACATTTGATAGGGCTCAAGAAACAATGATCCAAACACTTTTAAAGTTTCTTTTAGTAAAAAAAATAAAACGAATGCAAGCAATTCCCCTTGATGAAGTACAAGGTCGCGAAGTATCAACTCAAGATAGGTTGAGTATGAAACACTTTGCCAGGAAGCATGTAAAATAATCCATCGATTATGTTGTAGCATCCTATTCCGTCTTGCTATCGAAAAACGACGTTCTAGCATGGGGTAATCGTGCGTTGAATATTTCCAGCATTTGAGAGCGTTTCTCCATCGAATGTAATGACGGACATTATTACATTATAATACCTATAAGTTACTTGACTCTCGAAGTAAAGTTGAAACCAATTGCATTTCCAAAGTCAGCTCAGTTGAGCGTCGTTCCCCAGTAAATACCCCCCCCCCCCCCCTAACACAATATTTACAATTATTCTACGCGGATCTGCTGCGGTTATCCTAAACATGAACAGCGCCCAAGACGCACTTCGGGGCTGGATCATGCTACCTTTTTCGTTTAGTTGCTCTGCCCGTTTCTGTCGTTATAACAACATCGTCTGCTACATTTGCTTCTTAGCGATCCTATGCAAAGCTCATCTACGTATCCAGCTAAAGAGCTTGCGTATTTATGCCACAGCATATGCTATCACTGATGTTTTGTTGTTCGGTTCGGTATACGCCGACATCATGCGAAAACATATTCTCCCCCGGCCCGGCGCGACAGTCGCATACAGATTACATACAGATGTCACGGATTACGCCGCTACTAACGAAATGTTGTCTCCCTAAACAGACACATTTATCTGCCGGGCCAATCCCGATTACCTACCTACCTACCTACCTACCTACGTAGCAAGCTAGCTAATTGTACAGACTAACGGTCATCTTTACACGTTCCGCGCTCGTACGAGTTTCGGCGAGGCCACATAGGTTCATTCAATTATTTTACATAGGCATGTTGCGAACCACCTCAATTCATCGCTGTTTGTGAACGTTCGTGTCTTGATCATGTTTCGATCATGAGGTGCTGCTCATTCCTCGATCTGTTCCCGGCGATACGGTCGGTCTTGATCGTGTCAGGTCGGCGGCCTGCATCCATGAGTCGGCCTGTATATACCTTTCGACTTTCTTCCACCCTCTCTGCTTGTTGGCCTTCTATAGCTACGCTAGTCTGAAGGTGGCATCGATGTGAGTGTCTCCGTGTCCGCGTTTGCCTGCGTGTGTTCAAGCCATTCACGTTGCGGCAGCGCCTTCACTTAGTTAGTCACTCAGTCAATCGGTCGGTGACTCGCAAGGTCCATGGCTATAACAGTTGCGATGCCGGCCTGTGTGGTCCTGTTCGCCGCAAGGAGCGTGTAGGCAAGCGAGTGCGCGCCTCTCGATCAATTCGTCGCCTCGGCTCAGGAGCACGTTTCCTTGTGAGCGGCACGGGGTCTCGTCAGTGTTCTACTGCTGATACTGCTACCGCTAAGGCTGACATCGGGCTATTGGGACCCGCTGATGGCCCATGCTGTCTGCCCGCTGACTAAAGCAGCGCGGACCTCCAGCGAACAGACAATGATTACTTCTATCCGACTGCCGATTTGGCTCGACGGATCGTAAGATTAAGTGTTGCGACCTGGTGGCAGGTCGCCGGTTTGTTGGCTATGTACATGTACAAACATGTGAACACATATCGGTTACATGGTGTGATTCGAGCTCAAAAATTACTAGTACAGGGTCTCCGAACAATTGGCAAAATCACTAATCAAAAAAAGAGCTCGTATTTAGCGTTACGTCACGCACGCAGCGAGTAATTAGACGGATGTCGTTTCAATGCTAACGTGTTAGAAAACTGCCTCTCCTCGCAGTCTCGCAGTGCTTCATCCGTATACCTTCTAGCAGTCGGTTAGATCACACTCGCTATTAGTGTTTGCTTTTTCTGCCGGACCCTTTGCTAAACTGCCTGGTTCTTAATCGTGCCCTGAACTGGGTTAGGTATGAGTTCTGCTGACACTCGTTTTGGGCTGTGCCTAATGTTCTAATACCTGGCTGCAGTGCCAGCCAATACGATGAACTGGAAAAGGCAGAATGTTGACGAAAGCTTCGTATAGGGTAGAAGCACAAATGATCTTTCGACTATAATCTGTAAATCGATAAGCAGCATATTTGCTAGCTTACTTAGATTCCTTATTTTATGGTGTTACCGGCAGGAGTCTATGAGTGTACTAGCCGTAATCATCTTATCCATGTCGGTATTCGCCAGTCTGCTACCCTATAGTCTCGCAGCAGTCCTGTAGCTGGCAAGATACATAAACAACTGAAATATGGTCACTTGGTTTTATTTGAAGGTCGTACGTATACTTGCGCTGTCGTTTGCTGTTCATTTTACTATGACCATCTGTTCTGTTGCAGTATACCAGCAATCTACGACATGTGGGTCTGACCGCACGGCATTAACGAGGAGCATATGCAGAGATATGGGACGACAAATGGGGGCAACTTTCTTAGACACGAAAACAAACAATAGAAAACAAGATGCCGTTACACATTTACACGTGTATATATATATATATATATATATATATATATATATATATATATATATATATATATGCGTATATAGCCTCCGTGAATCTAGCCGTCAGCACCATCGATAATAACATAAGTCGTATCAGACCATCGTCATGATCGTTGTCACTGAATCACTTCGGACTCACGACTCGGATAAAATAGACGGAATCGTCTGGTCCATGGTGGCATTCCACCTATTATATGGATCGGGCCCTAAATATGCGGCGCCGTACGAGGGGGTCTCCTTCAAAGATTCGAATAGATTAACCAATGTTTGCAAATGCCATCGCTGATAGACCACTGTCTATCTCTAGCCGTTTTGAAAGGCCGCTGCATTTACTGTCGGAGCCGTTAGTGAGGGCGCCATTACTTGGAGCCGGTTTAGAAGAAGCCATGCACTACGGCCGCTTTGATCTCTGTCCCCTCTTTGGCCTTCATACCCCCTCCCCTTCTCGCCCTGCCTTCGCTCCTCCGCGTGTTCGGCTGGGATGAGAAATCGTTTGTAAGTCCGGCTGTGCGTGAGCACAGGGTGGTACTCACGGCCTATCTCAGGCTATCGAGAGCTCTTTCCGTCGACTAACTAATCTGTGTACCGCTACCATGCTCCGGGTGATCGAAGTGTCTGAGCACGTTAATGAGCATACGATAATGGCGCCTCGGTTTGTCTACCGTTTTACTCGGGGCAGTTGTAGTTAGCGTCGACACTTTGCGATTTTGTGCAGCAGACGTTTCAAAAATCGATCTATAGATCAGTATTAACAACAGCGGTTTAAAAGAACCACTAGAGACAGGTTAATTGAGCTAGTAAGGCTTTTATTCGGTTTTGAAGTATGTTAGTATTGTTTTTAAACGTTATTAAAATGAGATCGTATTCTGTACATTTCATATCTCAATAGTCGACAGGTAGGTGCAGGCTATTGAAAACTAGAGGAGGATCGCAGAATCACGCAGTGACTGATTGTCAATTAGCTGACGAGACTCTGGTAGATAAAATAACGTACGCACACGTTCAGTATCTATGGTCTTATCACTGTAGATAGTTCGCATATTTAAGCAGCGCCGATTTATCAGCTAATTCAGCCATATGATCGTAGGTTAGGTAGCTGTCATTCAGATCAAGTCGGCCACTCAAAATCGTCTGCTTTTTCGGGACAACGATTGTACCCTGTGCACAGAGTTTAAGGCCTCGATATACACATGTTTGTCATATATATGGCTGTGCTCTCTTTCCAGCGTGCTTTGGATTAACTCCATCGACCCACATTTGCTACTCGATTATCTGTAGACTATTACTTTTTAGAACGGTGGCCAGTTTCCATTGCTCTGTTGTTACGTTCACTTCATAGGACCAATAGTACGACTTAGGAACCGCAGACGATAGTCGACTATATCGTTTGTCCTGCACACCGGTAGCTTCGATGGTATCATTTGGTAAGGTGGCGTTAAGCCAAGGATTTCACAGCGCACTTCCGCGCATCCGTCCATCCGTCCGTCCGTTCTATTGAGAGTAACAAACAACAACAATAGCAAACGCCCACTGTTCCGCTGTAGGATGCTCAGGCCAACAGTCGGCAGCAATAGCAGTGGCGAAACAACAAAACAACAATGGTAGCCGCACTTTTGTGTTACCTTCGCTTGTCGTTGAAGAGCTTCATCAGGAGCAGAAGCAGCAGCGGCGTAGAACTAAAGGCGAGCCTGTAAGGAGAAGCGCTCGCAACGAATGTCATCGAAAATAGTGTTCAGCCGAGACGCTGCCACCAGCACGGTCCACTGTTCATCTCGGCTTTATTGGCCATCACTCGTTCTCAATTCATCGTCTCTCGCAGCTGTCCGGCTCGAATTCAGGACACAGCCACAG